TATAAAATGTTAATTCTTTATTTATTCTTCCAAATTAATTTCGTCCCTTTCAAAGTAATCCCCGTCCGATAAAATGCACTTTTGCCAACGTTTTTCCAGTCGTCGAAATATTCGGAATAGTCTTTTTCTAGTACAGCCTTCCAGACCTTCTTCGATTCAGTTTTTATCTCCTCAATCATGTCAAAACGGCATCCCCGCATTAGCCTTTTGAGTTTTCTGAATAGCCAAAAGTCTCACGGAATCAAATTAGGCGAATACGGTGGTTGCGAAACGATATGATTCGAGTTTTTGGCAAAATAGTTGCGAAGAACCGCAGCACAAATTGAGCCATTTTAGCACTAATCGAGACTTCACACGTTTAAGACACAAAACATTCCTATATACGTATACACACATTACACAGCACTATCTAGGTTTAAAGTAAGCAGAGTTTGTACTATGGGTATTTAGGAACAGATAGAACACTTGCTTTTGTTGTAAATATATACATAGAAAACACCCAAGCCAATACTAAACAGTATTCCACGCAAAACCACTCTTTGAAATCAACTTCCAGCAGCAGTATTTCCAAATCGATACAAAATCATTACCTTCAAGAAAGGGGTGATAAGGATTGTTTGTAATGAGATCCAACAGACCCATTACTAGCAATATACCCTAACAGGTCGACCGCCACGCGGTTTCCCTTGGATCATCGTGGTTAATTTTTAATGATATCATCACGATGGGCCAACTAAGCTGCTTTAACTTCACTTATTATCCCTCACTGGTGCCACGTCAGCGTATCTCCATAGCGCAGGCGGAGTTACCATTTCATTCTCATCCATTAAAAAAAACTTCAAGAAAAGAGCATATTTCGTTTTAAAAGGCCGGCAGCACATTTGCAATGACTCTGGTGTTGCTGGTAATCATAACCATCTGTAGTCACCATCAAGTGAGCCGCATGCTCGTTAGCCCCCTGTGTTATAAAAAAAAAAGAAAAAGAAAACTTATTAAAGTGCCGTCTGGCCTCGCCATAAAATGGGTTCTTCCTTTTCACGTGGGTGACCTAAGATGTGACTAAGGAAACTTAATGGTCGAAAGATGGGCAGCAGCATCTCTCTTAATACATCACCAAAGCGTAACTGCGGTTATCAACCCGCCTGACAAGCGTGCCAACTGATGGCAAAACTCCCCAATAGGGGGAGGCCCATATTCAGCAGTGGACAGTTAATGGCCGATTTGATAAGTATGTTACTCATGTACACATTACAAACGTTTGTATTCTGCGAGAAGATCGAACCTGTGACCACCACATGAGGTGTGTTATTACCACTAGACCACACCAGTGTATATTTATTTTAATTGTATAATGAATTTTAATTTCCTTTAAAATATTTAACATGGGTACATGTATATGTTTTAAGTTATCTGTAGATATCTCAAACGTTACAGATAAGGGCGAAGGGGCACGGTCATTTTTATAAACGTTTGACCTTAGGTATGTTTCAATATAAGGTCAAACTATATCAAATAAAATTATATAATAAAATAAATTCAGCTTGCATAAGTAAAGCGCGTTCTTCAACTTTTAAGACATTCATAAAACATAATAAATATTATTTTTATTAGTTTATTAGTTTCATCGCATCTGGAAAAACAATGTTGTAAGAAATTTGTTACAACTGTTCTTTTCAATCGACTTCAAAAAAGGAAGACTTACCACATAACACACATGGCCTATACACCTACTGATTTGGGACGAGAAAAAATTTACTTTTGTCATAAAAGTTCCTTCCCCCCCCCCCCCCCTCAATAGAGAGAGGACTATATTCAGCAGTGGATTGTTAACGATTAATATGATGACTCCATGACGTGGCCTCCTGTTCGACGAAGTCACTTATCCTCAAAATCCCTTCACACTCGTCTACGCGCTATAGTGGATCTTTTACCGTCTATGCTACTAAATTGTGAATTTTTTTTCCTATATCTATCTGTGAGAGTCAATCCCTAAATTTTTTTAAGAGTAGACTTAATAAGCATCTTCTATCTTTATGAACATATATTTATCTATCTATATGTGTAGATATATTATATGTATATGTGTGTGTTTGTATGTGTAAGTATATGTATATGTGTATTTATACGATTAAATATAATGTAATTAATTATGTATAAATTTAAGATTTTCTAGTTCCTTTGTTTGAAAATTTTTACAATATTGTATACCGCTCTAGTCGTTGACATTGATGCTCCTTTCTACTTTGGGTTTGCTGGAAGAGAACTCTTTTAGAGTTAAGCTCGCCTTCGTACATTTTATTACTTATGTTATATTTTTATGTATAATTAGTGTGTACAATCAAATATTAAATGGTGATGATGATAAAATAATAAGCAAGAATAGTATATTTACCTTTGTTTAACCGAGGATGATGGAAGGAGCTGGGACTGGACTGTACCCACTGCTGGGTACACACCATGCTATGAATGGATTTATTAAGTTAGTTAGGAGTTATTATTCTTTGTGTATTCGTAATCCATAAAATAGATATCGGCCTACCTACCATTGCGGGATGGAAGGAGAGGGGTTATTACTAATTACTAATGGGTCTAGCACCTCTAATGCAGGGGAGAGGGATTGTTAGTAATGGGTAATAACAGCCCCATTGCTAGCAGATCAAATTCAGATCAGATCGAGCTCCACGCGGTTCCCCCTGGAAACCATCGTGATTAATTAATCGTGATAAATTGAGAAATCCTTCACGATGGACCAAATGACCTGCCTTCATCTTCACCTATAATTCCTCATTGGTGTCCCGCGAGCATATAGCGTTAGCGCAGGCGGGTTAACCATTTTATACTGTTGCATTGAAAAAAAAGGACCTACTACCAATATACACTGGCAAATCGACCTCCATATGTTTTCTGTGGAAACTATAATTTTTTTTTATATACAACTTAGAATGACAAACAAGCTGACGGCCCACCTGATGGAAAGTGGTAACCGTCGCCTATAGACATGAGCAGTACCATGGACATAACAGAACACACACATATTATTTCGCCCATGATACCCCCCATGCGTTGCACGTTATTTCTCTGTACCTCAGGTGTTATTTCTCTGTACCCAGTAAATTCAATAATCGAATACCAGTGAATACGTCAATAGGGACCAACTGTTCAGGATTTCTTCTCATAAGTCATTCACCACCACTCTATTTTCACACATTAAAAAAATTCTAGATGTCACATCACATTCACATCGGTCACATCTATTTTGAGATTACCACAACATTGATATAATTAATTTTTGTTCTACTATAATAATACTAAATAATAATATTCAGCACACTCTTTGTTGTACCTAAATTCTGGATATCAAACCGTAGGTCACCACGAAGGTTAAATAAACTAAAAAAATATATCTTAATATAAATGTATTTCGTGTATATTTTACACTAGCTGTCACACGGACGCATGACCGGAATATGTTTATTGACCGGGATGAAAAGAAGTCTACTTATATCCTTTTTCGTCACATATAGCATCACCAAACCAATTTATACTGAAGAGATTGTGGGTCATATAACATAGGAAAAAATTACAAAGAACACTAACACTTCTGCGCAAGCGAATGGGAAGCTATTTTAGTTTTTTTTATTTTTATACAACTTAGAATGACAAACAAGCTGACGGTCCACCTGATGGAAAGTTGTTACCGTCGCTTATAGACATGAGCAGTACCATGGACATAACAGAGTATACTGTTTCGCCCATGATACCCCCCATGCGTTGCCATTCCTGAGGATTTAGGTGTTATTCCTCTGTATCCAGTAAATTCACGCCATAGCCCACCCTTCAAACCGAAACACAGCCATTCAAACACAACTGCTTCACGGTAGAAACACGAATGGGACAGAGGTACCCAAGCAATTGACTTTTGTACAAAGTCTCTCTCTTATATCAGAACGGTAAGACGATACATGGTCTTACGCATGAAGATGTTTTATTTAGTAATTTAGTTATATGAGAATTGAACCCATAACTGTGGGAAGGTAAAGCACTATGCTAACCGGCACACTGTTTAAAATTGTCTATATATTTGTTGTACTATTTTCAATCGACTTAAAAAAGAAGGAGGTAAACAATTCGGTTTATATTTAATCTTTATTACCTCATAACTCAGTTAAATTCTGAACCGATTTGAAAAATTCTTTTTTAAATGAAAGGATATAATTAATAATTGCAGATTGGTCGCATAGAAATATTATCAAAATCGGCTCAGTTGTTTAGTTTTTAAATTAAAATAGCTGGTAGACCACAATTCAAGTCGGTTTTCTTTTTTCCTTTAGACTGTTATGATAGGATTTATGATGAACCTAAGCTCCATTTAATAATTAAGCTCCATTTACTGAAACGATTTCGGTAGAAATTGAGTCAGAAAATTCGGAATTTCATTTCATGGTAGACCCCCTGTACACCGCTCACGTTATGAGTAAAACGTCTTGTAAAAGGCTCAAAATAAATAGATAGACTACTCCTTTTTATTCTCCAAAAATATTCACAATACTTAGCAGGCACGAGAAGTAGAAGCGGTGTCGGATCTGGCAACTTACAAAAACTACATAATACTTACCGTTTAAAAACATTAAACATATTAAAATATTATTCCTTTGGACTTTTATGGTAGGATTTATGACGAACGAAATGTTAAGCTCCATTTACTGGGCCTATTTAGGTATGAACGAAAACACGAAATTGAGTCTGAAACTTCGGAATTTCATTTTATGGTAGGCCCCCTGGTTTCATCCTCATCTACCACCATTCACTGGTGGCCCGTCAGCGTATATCGATAGCACAGGTGGGGTTACCATTCAATTATCATCCCCTAAGAACCTTATAGTCCTTTGACGGCTTAACCAATCACCATGAAATTTGTCAGTCTACTTTTTCTCCCGGTTAGTAAATATATCACGGTTACGCGGATAATAGCTAGTAGATATAAAATGAAAAACAATAGAAATAGTATAATTTATATATTTAAATTCATTCAGTACACAATAAAATCGGTTTCAATTACGGTTTACTTCAAGTTTGCCGTTGTGTGTCACTGGCAAAGACAAAGCAAACTGGTATAATAAATTTTTAGTTTAATTTCTTTTATTTAAAAACAAATTGTCGATTGATTACAAATAATCAATATATAAATAAATATATATATTTTTAAATATTGTTTTCAATATAAGTGTACTTATATTGAAAACAATATTATATTAAAAAACAAAATTGATAAATTCTAAATTTGAGATTTTTCTTCCGACATAATAAATTACAACAAAATTATACAGCTCACTCTTCCGGTCACGCACTCAAAATACTTTTTTTTTACAATTAAATACAAAAAAAAAATATTTCTTTACCACTATTATATCTATTGCTATTTTATCGATTTAAGGTAGTTGATCACTAAACAAAATTGAACACGAAATACTAGATGGCGCTAGAATCAAGACTTATGGTTTTCGTTGATTATTTTTTAATACAATTTGAGGCAGCGTTTCTAAATTGGCAAATGGATTTATTTATTTTTTAACGATATATTAATATTTTATAACGATTTTTGTCATTATTCTCTTGTATTGTACCACATTGTAAAAAGGACACATCCTAGCAAGAAACATAGCGATTCTGTGGTTTCTAATTCATTCTAGAAAAGACACTTTCATACATTATAATAAAAACCATTCGCTAATTTAGAAATTTTACTTCATATTACTTTTAATCGCCACAAACCTTAAGTTTCGATTCCAGCGCCACCTAGTATTGTTTGTCTAATTATGCTTAGCGACCTTAAACTTTGGATTGCAGATTATTTTATATAATGCAATTTAAATTAAATAATATTTCATGAAAGCTAGACTCTATGAGTCAGACGGAAATGCGTGACTGGAGTGTTGCCATATTCACAAATAATATAGGTAGAAATAACAATATTTTTAAGTAATTAATTATAATAATAATTACATTATCGGTTTCAGTTTACAATCAATATAACACTATAAAGGCAATGCTATTGTAGAATAAGCTACTTATCACATAACATTTATCCAAATATACTGTAATTATCACTAGTATTTTGTAGTATACAACTATGTATAACTGATACGGACGACATGACAAAATTATGTGTCAGAAAACGCATTAGTCTTCGACATTTCCGACCTGTAAGTTTTTATTCGTCATACTTCATAACCCATGTCTTAAGTACCTCTTCGCATGTTGCCGTGTATTCATATTGTTATAGAATGCAGTATTGAAGTCATGAATGGATGAAGGCATTTTTGGACTTTCGCTATTATATGCATGGATGGGGGTTTTATCTGCATATTAAAAACTATCCAAAAATAAAGATTCATAAAAATTAAAAGCTCCTACAAACCTACCCTCCTAACTATTACACTGTTTTATCACTTTATTCAAACTGAGAATTTAGCACAAAAAAAAAGAGACAAAACTGCTCAATAACTAATATAGCTTTATAAGACATCAGACATTTTATGAATAAGAGGGTATAAATATACTAAATAGATACTATAGGATATATATGAGAATCGAGCGTAAGTTATGTTAGTACGTACATAGCACTTTTTAACACCTTACCCTTTTACATATATCTTTCTATCATATATTTGACATATCATCTTCATCCGTTCATATCTTCTATTGAATGTATTCTAGGATAAATATCGAGTTCTGTACAATTACATCCATACATACGACAGATCATGTACGAAGGTACTAATACATATGCAATGTATCAGATAAGCACTCCCACATATTCACTGAAGAGTGCCGCCTACAAAGTTGATGGAGTATCCCTTTTTAATTATTATAATTTTGTATAATAAACATACATACATATCTGTCACGCCTGTCTCCTATTAGGGTAGGCAGAAACAATGGAACGCCAAATGCTTCGATTCAAACAAACCTCATGTATAATAAACTATTAAATAAATTTCATTTCACTCATTGACTCGCAAATCGACTGAAGATACCGAATAAAGTGAACTATGCTAACCATACACATTTTTAAATATATATTTTAGCATCTATTAAATCACATATTTAAATTTTTTCAAAATTCATATAACTATCATTTAAAAATTATTGTAACTTTATTCGTGCTTTGTAAGGCACGTAAAGCCATCGTCTGGTAAGCCACATAAGTCACATTAGGTGACCTAGAAACAATTAACACTAGAGGGCGACACTCTCACACGAGGTAGTATTAGAAGCATTTACACGCAATTCTGTTTATGGCAAAAACATTATGGGCATCTCCAGCACAAAGTTGGACCATAGACAATCCTAGTTCAACAAAAATATTATCAATCTCTAATAGTGAAGTCAAATTATTACTTAAACTTAATACTAATTTCACACGCGATATATTTATTTTCGTTATATGTATTAAAATTAATAAGAATTCTACAAAACAATTTGTGTCCTAATATAAACCAAAACTCCCATTAGTAGATAAATTTTTGTGGTTTATACGGGCAAAATTTGTATTACTTGTCAAATCTTAAATACATTTTTGAATTAATATTTTATCCGTAATAATTTAGTCCATTTTTTACTTCACCTCCAAAAGAGGTGGGCAAAATATTTCGAATGTTCAAATCTCAACATGCGATTCAAGAATTATATGGACTTAAATAATACGAATAGAAGGAATTATTAGACAAAATTTTAATAAATTTATCTTAATTACGGGTGTATTTTTCTTTTAAAATTCGCAAATATATTCTCAATATGAAATTACAAATTTTGTTGACTTATAATAAGAACCTTATTACATAAACCTTTAAGTTCATAATAATACACATATTTAGGAAAACGTCTCCATACATTTTCATAGATTTTACTTCCTTCATATCGTGACATGTTGTGTCGTTCAAATTTTGACAAGTAATATAAATCTTGTTAATTGTTACAGCATAAAACCATTTTACACGCTAAATTCATTTTTATTTAATTAGGTGTCAATTATAATTAATTTGTGTTAGTATTTTTAGTAACAAACGAAAAGAGACCTTATCGCGTTTGGCGGTTACATAATTTCAATAGGTTCACTTTGATTGAAATTCACTTAGACCATAAGGTCTATTTTCCTTTGAACATTTCAATAGCCAAACGTACAACTAAAATTAAATAGTACATCAAGCTTGTTACATACATTTTATATTAAATAGGCTTTTTATCTAAACATTGTGCACTTATATTAAGTACTAATAAGTACTTGGAAAAATATATTTAGCAAGGATATATTCATATTTTATACGAAAATTCTAACCGTTGCCAAATATTTATATCACAAATCATATACCGCTAAGAGGTAAATTGGGGTTAAATGCTACTGGTTAATCTACTACAATATTAAGTAATAACTAACAACCATTCAGTTAACTTACCGTGACTGAACATTTTAAATGAACTGACGGGCTCTTACCAGGATTATTTATATATGTCGTTCAAAAATGTACAAAATTTTAAAAACATGATTATTTCAGTACGTAGATTCAGCCTCTATTTGTCTTTGGGCCTATCATGAAATGTTTTTCGAAATTTAGGGGTCGAACGAAACAAAAATTTCAAGTTTAAATTCATAATACACAATATTTAAAAATATTAAAATATCTTTCCTTTAGACTGTTATTGTAGGATTTATGATGAACCATTAAGCTCCGTTGAATAATTAAGCTCCATTTACTGAAACGATTTCGGTAGAAAATGAGTAAGAAAAATCGGAATTTCATTTCATGGTAGACCCCCTGTACACCGCTTACGTTATGAGTAAAACGTCTTGTAAAAGGCTCGAAATAGATAGACTACTCTTTTTTATTCTCCGAAAATATTCACAATACTTAGCAGGTACAAAAACTAGAAGCGGTGTCGGATCTGGCAACTTTGCCGCCGCGGGCAAAAACATTTGTCGCCGTTTATTATGACGACCATGTCAACTAATTTTGCCGTTCCGAGCTACCCGGCTGACGACCGAGCAAATGCTCTAAAAGTGGTATGTTTTATTAAAAAGCTAGTCTTTAAACAAAGTCGTAATAAAAACCCACCAGTTACGTATTTCAGCGTACGAACAAATACGTTACTATGTTCTATATTTAAATAGGTGCAAACAAAACACAGATTAAATAAATAACACCCTGCGTCGCTCCCCCCCCCCCCCACCAATCTACTCCCCCATCCCCACCTCACCATTCTTATACTGCAGGCAATTTAACTTATGACGTACATGCAGTGCCAAAATCTAACAAAACAATTAACTAATATACATTTTTAGACAATGTTTGCGTATTTAAGAGAATAGAAACCATTTTATTTATACATATATACTCAATTTTAAACCTTTTCAATTATTATTTTCTTACGATTGTATCGCTGGTTAAATAACCAATAAATAATCAAATGATTAGAATTATTTTGTTTAATTCCACTAACAACTGTCAACACTCGAAAACTGGCCATCAAGTAAAGTGTTATTAATCACACACGTACTAAGGGTAGCGGAATTAAACAAAATAATTCTAATAAAATAAACCAGTGATATGAATTTCCGCAATATAACACATAGTTCAATAAAACTATTGTATCGCTCAATTCGGAATGCAATTATTCGTATATTTAATACACAATGATTGGATGAAACCAAAGACTTTTTTTTTAACAAAAAAGTCTTCGACGCGGCCTTTTCAATAAATATTTTTAAATACAGATTTCAGATGCATACAAAATTGCATTGTCAAGCCAAACATAATTCAGTCACACATAGTTACAATAAATAAAAACAAGGCCGATTCTTGTAAATCAGATAAATAGAATAAATTAAATTATTTAATTTAATGAAAAATCCATTTTTTAATTAAAAAAATCGTAGATAATCTTTTTTTACTTTTTTTGTTTAACACGATCGAAATCAAATATTACGAACTAAATGTTTCTTTAAATTTAGTAAATAAAATAGCAAAAATGATATGAGGCAGCGGTTTTTATAGATTTTGATGATGCAGAAAGTATTTTAAGTTGCCACGTCACTTTCATTTCTGTCCCAACACATCTATTCTTGATAATTAAAAAATATAAAGAATTTAAAATATAGAAGCAAGTAATACAACCTTTCAATAAAAAAAAGATCTTCGATAAAAAAAAAAAAGAAGATTAATCTTTAACAATTTTTCAAACAACTCACCCGTACACTGTACGTAAAAATAAAGTTTTTTTTTTTTTTTATATTTTAACAGCAGAATTTTTTATCTTTAACTTAAGATCGAACAACCTATCTTTCTCTATTCTATGGCATCGTCCTTGTTCCCTAGCGTCGCCTTACAAACGTACCCCTTGAGTGCTAGCACGCCTCTGCATTTTATATGAACCTGGTATCTTGCACACCAGTCCAGGTTATTACAACCTACTCCTGCGTCAGATAGCGTCTTCACAGCCGCTAAGGACAGGAGATCTGAAATGAAAAAAGATTGAACCTTATGTTTAATGATCGACAAAAATGAAAGTTTTTCCAGGGGAACGGGTCTTTAAAAACGACACATAGATATTTTTATGCGTCTAAGAATGGCAAACAAGTTGACTGCCTATTTGATGAAAAATAGTAACTGTTGCCTATAGAATGGACCATGGACTTAACAGAGTAGAGTTGCCATTTCTGAAGACTAAGGTATTATGCCTCTTACTCTTGGGCTCATCATTTCCCATAGCTGACAGCTCCACTCATAATCCTGATCCAGTAGGCGCCAGACAATTATGGGGTGGACACCGACCACTCCTTTCCCTCTAAATACACCTATGGCCGGAAGTGTTTAACTATATTACCTTCTCTATATTTAAAATTTAGTTTTTGTTATTCTTTGATAAAATATCTTGAAAAGTACAAGACATATATAGTAAATCTCATGGAAAACGATATCTGTCGCTCATAGAGTGTTAGACCCATGATAATCCCCATGAGTTGTCATTCCTGATGACTAAGAGAATATTGCACTATATGGTAAGAATACGTACGGATATTACAGAATACCCTTCAATGACTATAGTACCTATCCCTCATGAGCTACCACTCATGGGGATTAAGGAGTAAGGAAGGAATTGTAAGGTACATACATGTACAAGAGTACGGAACATAAAGTAAGAATATGTATCAAAAGGTAAGAGAGGTAAGATACCCACCACAAGGAAAAGTACACACTACAACATAAGAGTACGCATCGGAAGGTAAAATACGCACCTGGCGGGTCACCATGCGTGAGCAACTGCACATCGTTGGCGCGACAGAACTCGTGCAATGCAGGCGGTACGACGCAGCAGGACGCGAGGTTGATTTGAGCGATGGCGGGTCGGACGTGCGCCCACGCGTGCAACCGTCGCAAGCAGCCGCCGCCCACGTCTGCCACTCCCAGCTGATGCACGCGTCCTGCATCATCATCGTGATCATCATCAGTATTGCTAGTTGAGGACCGTTGAAAAGCGTTGGTTGGTTTGTTGATGGTTGGCGGTTGGTTGGTGGTTGGCGGTTCATTGATGGTTGGCGGTTGGTTGGTGGTTGGCGGTTGGTTGGTGGTTGGCGGTTGGTTGGTGGTTGGCGGTCGATTGGTGGTTGGCGGTTGATTGGTGGTTGGCGGTTGATTGGTGGTTGGCGGTTGATTGGTGGTTGGCGGTTGATTGGTGATTGATTAGTTGGTTGTTATTAAAAATGAAAGTGGCAATTTTATTCTAAAAATAATAAAAAAAGAAACATACAATCCTTAGTAATATGTAATAATTTAAGATTTTTTTCTCAAAAAAAAAAAAAACACCAACTTCTCATTTTTTGAAGCAGATTGAAAATTCATTTCGCTCACCTTGTTTGACGTAATCCTCTAGAACAGCCCATAGTACTTTAATGCCGGGCAATATTGCCTCACACTTTCGCGCGTCCGCCTCACTATCGGCCTCTAGTTCTGTACTGGGCATGCGTGCTGTAACATATTTTAACATTTAAAATTTTAATTGATTTAATTCTATCTTTACTAGCATCACACAGAGTGGGGATGCTAAAAGGGACACTAGTCCCCATTATTAAGAATATGTGTAGATTTTTTAAGAGTATAATGTGTAGATACAGTGTGTATACGCGTACAGGCAAACGTAATGTAGACAGTCCCACACCAATTGGTGCGACGACCCTTAATGTATTGTAGGGAGGCAGCGGATGCAGGTGAGTTAGGACCGTTCATTATGGTAATCTATGAGAGAGGCTTATGTGCAACAGTGGACAGTTAAAAGCTGATACATTGATAAGCAAACCAAAGTGGCATTAGACTGGTCACATAGCTCCAAGAACCGACCTCGTACGGACAAACTCAGTGTAGAGCGACCCCCCACTACATGGAGTGTCGACCTCATGCATTACAGGAAGTCAGTGGATGCAGATGACTCAGGAACGTTCTATATGGCAGTCTATAGGGGAGGCCTATGTTCAGCAGTGGATGGATGGCTGGGATAATGAGGAAGATTATGGCTGCATAGCTTAACCCTTAAAAGCCTGATTTTTTAAATCAAATAAAAAAATATATAAGTGTACCCTTTATAGTATTTACTCATAGAACAAAAAATCAAAACGATATTTTTATATATTTATTTTGAAAAAAAAATTGGTATTATTTTTGATACTTTAGGCATTACGGTAATCAAAATATTTAAATTTATTTAACAATGAAACAATGCAAACCCCGGTATCAAATTTGAAACTTCAGTTATTTAAGGGTTAAATGTTGGAATCCTTTGTTAACAGCTGAAATGATGATGATGAATGTGTAGATACATACCTATATTGCTACCTTGCGATATCGGTGACGCCTTGGTCGCGTGCGTACTCTTTAAATTGGTCTCGTCTGTTGCTTCGTTGATATGCAATATGTCAGGGTTGTAAGCCAGGATCACGTTATCTATATACTCAGTATGGAGTGCCGTGAACACTGGAAATTGAAAAAAGCATGATTTGAAAATGACAAGTAGTATAAAAATATAAAATATAAATCGTAAATATAATAAATGAAATAGAAAACTTAAATATATATAATTTCTCACAGGGAGACTTTGTACAAAAGTCGTTTTGCTTGAGCACCTCTGTTCCATTCGTGTTTCTACCGTGAAACAATTGTGTTTGCATGGCTGTGTTTCGGTGTGAAGGGTTATGGGATAAGGCATGGATAAGGGATATGGCAGTGAATTTACAGAGTACAGAGGAATAACACCTGAGTCCTTAGGGATAGCAACGCATGGGGGGTATCATGGACGAAACAGTATACTCTGTTATGTCAAAGGTACTGCTCATGTCTATAGGCGACGGTTACCACTTTCCATCAGGTGGGCCGTCAGTTTGTTTGCCATTCTAAGTTGCATAAAAAAATAGCATGGGGTAATATCAATATCGCTCCAATATCTATATATTGGGTTTCTTTGGGCTTTGGAAAAAAAGTCATCATTTATTTCAGTATCACTGTTATCTATTAATATTATTAATATTTATATACATTAACAGGTTTGTGGATGGATTGAAATAGGCCTTTGTTGTGAACAATTTATTTTACATTTTTAAGACATCTTTTTTTGGACACGATATGTACATAATAATGGCAAGATCGAGGCCAGCGACAAAAGTGATGTTCTGTTTTGCATATCGTAATAGGAAGATGACAGTGTTGCTTATTTATCATAGCTTCTTTATATTTGTTTCAATCGGGTTCTTTATTTTAATATAAAATATTGAATAATTAAATTCAAATAGATTTGTTTACAAGCACTTCTAAATCGTATTTTTTTATAAATTCATGGTTTGGAAAGTTATCTGTCGAGAGGAGTTCGCAAGAAACTCATCAGTTACTCCTTTATATCTTTGTTAACATTATGTATATTTATTTAAATGTACTATATCTGAAAGGACATGGTCGTTAAAAGCCCATGCATGATTGATTAACACCATACACATTTGTCATTCGAGTAATCATTTAGTGTGTAATAGGCTTTGTTCAGTAAGTGTTTTTTAATAACAGTTTCAAAATATTGAATCAATATTCAATATATGGATTATTGAACAAATGCCTAGATAATACAAATCCAATATATGTTTGTTTTTTGTTTCATACAACTTAGAATGGCAAACAAGCTGACGGCCCACCTGATGGAAAGTGGTAACTATCGCCTATAGACATGAGCAGTACCATGGACATAACAGAGTATACTGTTTCACCCATGTAACCCCCCATGCGTTGCCATTCCTGAGGACTCAGATGTTATTCCTCTGTACCCAGTAAATTCACGCCATATCCCACCCTTCAAACCGAAACACAGTCATGCAATATAGATATTGCTATATATCACACACCCCTAGTTGACGTAAAGTAAAATTAAGAACTTATCGAAGCTATAGTGAAATCGTGAATCAAAAATTTAAAAACGACAGCTAACCGCACCGTGTTAATTAGTATGGGAGTTTAAAGTTTTCCAATGTTGTACCTGATGGAATTAATTAATCGCCCCCTACGGACATAAAATACACGCGTTTATGGGAGCTTTAATAAACCTCTAAAAGTTTTATAAAACCTTTTATAGCAAAGATTTCACAGGCTATTATTTCTTTCAATCTCCAATACATGTAAAAGAGTCTATGAAGAGAAAGTCTCTTCATGGACTCTTGTAAGTTTTAAAGACAACAAATAGCTGAACAATATAAAAGAGATACAAAAGCCTATTATCTTCTCCATTCCATATAGTACGTGAACACAAAATTCTATGGAATTTTGTGTTCACGTACTATATGGAATGGTGATTAGTTAAGCCGTTTTTTTTTTTTTGATGGGTGAAAATGGTATGGTAACCCCGCCTGCGCTAACGGGTTACGCTGGCGGATCACCAGTGAAGGGTGATAGATGAGAATGAAAACAGGCCAGTTAATTCATCATGAGTTAAACATGATAGTTTCCAGTGAGAACCGCGAGGAGGTCGACCTGGTTGGATATATTGCTAGCAATGGGATTCTCAGTCTCCATTACTAACAATCCCTTTCCCCCCTAGTTAAGCAGTTAAGGCGCTATAAAGCAACAAACAAATAAATTCACTTTAACATTTATAATACTCGTGTCAGTATGTATAAAAAAATACATATAGCGAACCTATACTATATATATATACGATGTTCCATCGGAATCTCGGTTTTATTTTGTGGTTTCTAACCAATTAACTATCAATTCTACGATAAACATTTCTCATTAACTTTGTGCATTTTTTTTAATACAGTTTGCAAATTCAGTACGTAGAATCTGACTCGTACTCACTTGACTGGCAATTTTTTGTGTTGCTTTTATCTATGGAATTTGTATATTCCCCATCGATTATAGCATCACGATAAACGAAAATGAAATTCAAATTTAGAAACGGAAATCAGTAATTCTAATCTCGAACGTAGGTAAGGGATTCCCCGTGTTATACATTCGATCTGACGTCCTTTATTTTCGGTCTTCCAAGATTAAAGGTTGCTTTACTTCTGGTAACTTTAGTTTGTTATCTGAGACGGAGGTGACAATACAAACTGTATCTATTACTAGCGACCCGTCCCAACTCCACACGGGTAGAAAGATAAATTAATAAATTATAAAATAATTAAAGATTGTGCCCCACAAAAAATCTACTTCAATTGTAACGAAACCAGTTATTTTGAGATAAAATCTAAATTACTGAACCGATTTCGATAAATTTTGTATGAGACCAATCAGTAAGTATATCGTTTCAGATAAAAAAATGCAAATCGGTCTGTCTGAGTTATGAGGTAACAAACAATGTTAGAATATTATAAGTAATTTATTTATAATATCTATTATATTACCAGAGGAAGACTTTGTACAAAAGTCGATTGCTTGGGTACCTCTGTCCCATTCGTATTTCTACCGTGAAGCAGTTGTGTTTGCATCGCTGTGTTTCGGTTTGAAGGGTAGGATATGGCGTGAATTTACAGGGTACAGAGGAATTACACCTGAGTCCTCAGGAATGACAACGCATGGGGGTATCATGGACGAAACAGTATACTCTGTTATGTCCATGGTACTGTTCATGTCTATAGGCAACGGTTACCACTTTCCATCAAGTGGGCCATCAGCTTGTTTGCCATTCTAAGTTGTATAAAAAAAATTCAATCTGTAATAAACAGTCAAAGTTGACACACAAAAAAATATAACTAGATTGAGAGCCTTCTTTTTTTGAAGTCGATTGGTCGAACTACTAGTCGTTGTTTCCACAAGCTTTCATAAGTTGTGTAATAGTAATGACGCATCATCGTAGTTTTGCGATAAATTTGTTTCCTACCTTAATGTTGGTAGGTATTTATAGTATCAATAGCATTATCAGTTTTCAGTAACAACGATCAATATACATTTCATATCAGTTTATCAACATTTATTGGTAATATATTCATATTATGACTAATTATAATTCAAATTGCCTAGTCATTTGAGTTGTAAAGTTCACGAGCTCGGGAAAGAAAGAGACATCTATGGTATTCGCTGCTGCACTTTAACTGGAGTTTTCCTTGTGTTTGATGAGTTGTGTTTGTTATTCTAATATTTATGCAGTTACGTCATCTTAAGGTTAGAAAACCAGAGAGAAACATTAAACAAAATTTGTCGGCAAAGGCACTTTTGTCCTATCAGTTCTACTGTCATAAAGCTGCGATGCTTGCATGGTTGTGTTTCGATTATAAGGGTGGGACCCATATCCATGTCGTCCGATAACTGTCCACTGCTGAATATTTTGACAGTGGTTGCCTCGTTTGGCAACAGTAGTTAGGTTTTGGTGACGTTTTAAGAAGTGTTGAAGGGGAAATTACAGGATAAGGAGACATCCTGCGGGTATGTATAGCAACGCGTATAATATCTTGATCCGTAAGTATAGCAAAGCGTGAAGGTACCATGACCTTATAGTATATTCTATCAATATAGCTGTTTATATTGACAGGTCATGGCTACCGCTTTCCATCACGTGGACCGTCAGCATGTTTGTCATTCTAAATATCATAAAAAAGAGAAGACTGGTGATACCTTGTACCTTTACACCGTTTTTCCAGTAAATCTACATATGTATAAAATATTTGAGTCACTGCGACACACATGACGAAAACATATTTTTTGTATTTTATCTTTTGTTTTATGTTTAAAAAAAATGCAATTCATTTGATTCTATGAATTCAGTTGTTAATTTACGTGTGCCATAAATTAATCAAAGAAAGTGTTTATTTATCTATCAATATACATGCTTATTACCTGCTATTTCATACACATGGTTTCAAAAGTAGGTAAACCATTTAATAAAAAAACATACATCATATTTTATATTACACATTCAGAAATACAACAGTAAGAACCGAACTTTATTTTGTTTAGTAGTTTTTGAGTGATACCGGAATAAACATGCAGACAGGCAAAATTTGTAAAAGCATTGTTTTGGCATACATTGGTTTATTAAGGCCTCTTATATTATTTTTTCTTAAGTATCTCCCAAGTAAAGACATCACTTAGTTACAATTTTATTAAGATGATTTTTGCTTGAATAAACATGTCACTACAACTGTTGTAACTGATATTAAAACCTCAGAAAACTTATCATTTATCTACGTACTGATAATAACATTCCCAAGTTCGCATCACAAATAACAATAGATTCTACAGTGATTTTATGTAATCAGCATCATCATACTTTATTGGAACTTGGTACAGATATACATACTGTAGTATCTATATATATATTTGAACGAATTCATCAAATATTTTCTTTGCCTTTCTTATCGGCCATATCAGAATAGAATAAAGACCTGTTCTCTTTTTTATCTTTTATTAATTTCTTGGTGTCGCGCATCACGAGTAACTAAATCGATATTATATTGTGTTTTTTATTACGTAATATCTAAATTCAATACTTATTTCTAATTATTTTATTGTCCACTACTTTGCACGCGAGGATTTCAGAATAGGAAAGTCAATAAAAAGACTACATCTAAAAGGTGACGTATCAAGATAAAACACATTAATAGATTTTAAGTCAGTACATAATTATGAAAACTGCATCCAATTTGGTGCAGTAGTTTTTGTGTAATGCTGGAACAAATATAAGGACAGATAAATAGACAAAAGTACATATTTCTCACGTCGTCGTCATGACATCGTTTAGTTAAGTCGAAGGCAAAAACTAGTTACAAAATATGTCTTACGTGCTATTCTAATGTATAAACTATAACACTATAAAGTTTCATCAAAATCCGTCCAGGAGTTTTTGCGTTAAAGAGTAACAAACATTTATCCATACATTCATGTATCTTCTTCGTCTTTATAAACTTTCGCATTTATAATATTAATAGGATTAAATTATTTGCTAATTATACTAATATGAATTGATTGTATTTTTTTTTTTTTGGTATAATAATCTTTCTTACAAAATATCACTGGTCATTATAAAATGAAAATTTCTAATAGGTTTTTTTTTTTACTTCTACGAAGTTTATTTGACCATTGCGGTAGGTATATTGTGCACAGAATATCTATCGCAAATAAATAATAAAAATATATTTCTTAGAAATTATGTCTTATATAATAAAATGGTAATGTAATGGGGAAAACCCACATATTTAATTTGTCAATAGATAAACTTTAACATTAGGTTTATTTTTGAGGCCACTTTTTATTTATCGAATGGTTCATTCAAGAATTTAAAAGGCAAATATAATTAAATTGAGAGATTTTTCTATCTTATGGGATGAAAATGGAATAACTCTGCCGGCGTTGCCGTTATAATTGCATAGCATCGTAATCGTGTAACATAAGTACAAAAAAGTATACACAAAAAAAAGTGTACTTTTTTCTTTTGTGACTTAAAAACCGACTTATCTATCGCGGAATAACTTATTCTCAGCGAATGATAAAATTATGATAGCAATAACATCATAGAAATCAATTATCTTCGGCATTGGATATAAGGAGTATTTATGATAAATATTATATCATAATATGATAAAACATTCTTATCAATAACGAATTCGAAATTAGTAATATTGATATAAAACCATTTTCCTACTCTTAAGTAGTAGCGTTCACAACAAAGTGTGACAACGTCGCTAATGTCTGTCAATTATCAAAAACAATTGATGAATTATCTATGTTTCTGATTTTTTTTTATTATTATTATTTCAGCCGTTAACTGTCCAGTGCTAGACATAAGTTTTGCTAGTAGTTGCCATGCTTGGCAGGCGAGTTGGCAACCGCAGTTAAGTTTTTAGAGATGTTTTAAGTGGGACGCTGCTGTCCATCCCTCGGCCTCCCTTAGTCGCCTCTTACGACACCCACGGGAAAGGTAGGGGCGGCCCATTCTATGCCGGGTCACACACGGTGATGTTTCTGATTAATTATTAAAAAACTGTTCTATCTGCGAACTAAAATGTTATTCGTGCAATAATATTTTTATTGTCGTTAAAGAAAATTTAAATTTTCATGGCAATGATGTATTTGAAAAATTTCAAAGCGAAATATGAATTAGATGCAAAGATTTTTATAATAGATTTATATGCAACATTAACGTTTAGTTCGTTAATAGAGCACTTTTATAGCACTTAAATAATCAGTCAGAAACAGTGAAGAATGTTAAATTGTTTTTAAAAATTGACAGATAACTGCGACGTTGCCACATCGCGGTTAGAAAAGCTATGAACGCTCTTGAGTGTATGAAATACAATAAAATAATAAGGTACTCGTTTATTTATGTGTAAATAATACTAATTTACGTACACATACGCACACAACAACTCGGTGGCAGCCTGTATGTTATCAGATAAAATATTGTATATAGTTAAATAAAATTATGTAATTTATTTTTACTATAATCAAACTTTTTACTTCACATTTCGACTTTCAAAAGGTTTTAAATTCTTTTGCTTTTTTGTGATTATGACGGTAATTATGAACCGATTTTTACAATAATTTTTGCAGTCGCAAGAGTTTACTCTCTAGTTTCAGTTTAAGTTCCTATTGCTTATTTATTAGGCTTCTATTGCTTCATTAAGACACCTAATATCTATTTCGCTTAAATATCTCCCATGTAGAGACAACTTTAGTTGCAATTTTATTATGTTAGTAAGATAAAATCCTTGATTTAAAATGTTATACATTTTAAATGTTATTAATTGATATTTACTGATATTGTCATTTATTGATGCGTGATTACACTTCACATATGTGTGCTTCGTCATTATTGATGTCAGTGCGTTTTTTTCTGAGTATTATGTACTTTTTTGCAAGTAAGTGCTATACTGTAATCTTTTGGAGAAAACAATAATAAGTAATCACTTAATCGGATTTACTGTGCAAAAAGGTGATAGAGATATCATTGATATTGATTATCGATTAATATATCAAATGTGATAACGGTGATCATACTATTATGATCATTGCATCATCTTACTAGTACAATAAAATTGTAACTAGATTTTACATCATTATCATCATCGTCCTGCCCTTATCCGTATCATGTTTTGATCGTATGTATGATCGACGTAGCATGTTTTTATCCATGTTATCCAAGAATTTGGTTTTTAGTTTTTCGACCGGTCGCCTATCTGATGTCAACACTCCTTGGGAAATCGATATCTGTACATGAGAGATATCTAAAAATAATTATTTTTAGGAGTCTTAATAAAACAAATAGATGTTATGTAATAATTAAAAAAAGTATCTGTCTATCTGCTTGTATATCTATTCCGGTATCACGCAACAATTACTGTAAAAATATGGATGAGATTTTTACAGTTATATTTCTAAAGATCTAACTTAAAATCTGGTGTATGTTTCACCTTAAAACACTATCTAGAAGTAGTCATTATATGTATTTTCCCACCTATAAAATCCACGCGAAGAAGTAGCAAAAGAATTACCAATGTTAAATAGACTTTATTGCACTAAAGTTAGAGTAAAAAATATACAAATTATGTGCATATGCGGCATCTATTTGATTCTATATCTATGTTTTACGTCCTTGACTGTCCATTCAACAAATCACTCTACTATAGTATCTCCATTCAACTAATTACTTACTCAATGACTATCAATGTTTATTTATAAACTATATCTTTTTAAGTTTATGTTAATGTATATATCTTTATGCATAAAAAATATTAACTTTGCAATCACAAGTCAAGAATATTCGATTCGTTAATATACCATGTGATCGACTATAGGTATTATATTTCGCCTATGTGCAGATTTAATTCCAGGTTAAGGTCATCACCTTAACAAAAATCTTTGAATACGGTTTCACGTGTTTACATTAATATTTCGCTTTTAACAGAATTTGCTTTTAATGAAGTACGTTCTCAGTTCCCATGGATTTTCTCAACCATGCCTAAAGATTTTATTTTAACCAACTTTAAAAAAGGAGAATCTCAATTCCACACACAATTTTTTATGTTGCGCAATACCTTCGTAATAGTGAACCGTTTACCATGATTTTTTTTACACAGGATTCTCGTATTGACCCCATAAAAATGTAGTTGAAATAGAAATTGTTTTTCTTTAAAGAAAAGAAATTATCTTTATTAAAATAGATTTGTAAAAGAAACTCTTTTAATGATGATGATTTTTCTCTTTGTAATTCTGCTATTGCGTTTGAAATTTTCTTTATTACAAAAATTTCTACAGTTACTCCTTTTCAAAATCAATTTATATACACAAAAAAATTTTTTGAAAAAATTATGAAATATACTACTCACCATTTTCCAAACACTCAGTTAAAGAACTCGTGCTGTCTTCGTTAATGAATATTTTAACGCCAATCTTCAAATTCTTCCGTTCCTCTTCGGCCATTTTGTTTTGAACATCATCGTGAGGTCTGGTTATGTTTATGACAGCTTCCCTGGGCGTCGATGTGGACACTACCATGTAGTTAGACTGCTCTCTGGATCCCTGAACTTGCTCGGCGGGAGAAGCGAATCCGTTCTGGACTGGCAAACCGTTCTGAGAGCTCCATTCAGATAGCGTGAGTTTAATACTCTCTGATAACTGTAAAACAAAAAATCAAAATATCTTTTTTTATGAAAATTGGAATAACAAAAAGTTATGGCTCACCAGATGGTACGTGATAACCATCATCTATAGACAGTAACATCACTAAATAAGCTGTAACGTGCATGGTGTTTGTTATGTTTGAGGATTAAGACGTTATTTTCCATCCGTACCTGGTCACCCATTACAGCTATATTTCAACTTTCAAATGGAATCCGGCGGCAGAAATACATGTAGGATAGAGGTAAGAGCCGTGTGGTCTCCGCATAGAATAGGCCACCCCTTTGTTCCCGTGGGTGTCGTAAGAGGCGACTAAGGGCGGGCAAGGGATGGACAGCAGCGTCTTTCTTAAAACATCTCCAAAGCCTAATTGTAGTTGCCAAACCGTCTAAGCGTGGCAACTACTGGCAAAACCCCCCAAGGGGGAGGCTTATGTTCAGCAGTGGTCAATTAAAATCTGATATGATGAGGTAAGTATACCCCACTACGGCAAACAACTTTTGTAATTTCCCTTTGATGATTCGAAAAATATTTTTTTATAATTCTCGGTACAGTATTTAAGGCATCCTTGCTCGCTATTGGATACGGGCTATGGGATGCCTATAAAAGAAGCATAGTGTGTTAAATAGTAAAATTTAGGCGCGATATTTGAGGAGCATGGGGAAGGTAGATAGATGGACGGCCGGAGACTGCAACAAATGAGTATGTAAGATTGTTCACTCAAGTTTTTTTTTTTCCTTTAAGATCCATATTAATATCATAAATATAAGAATGAATTTATTATCTCTTGGTTTAATCTTCTAAAGTATAAAAATAGCAAGAGGAAAAAGATAGAAAGATATAAATCATATTTAAATATGATTTACTTTACACTTTATGCTTGGCCGTCATTATTTCCATCATATAATGACTGTGAACGTTGTATTGTTATGTCAACATAATGCTTCGAAACTCCACGAAGTAACTGCTATTGTAATATAGCACGAGTTTTATGATACATGTAAACTGAGCGCCGATGAAGTATTTTATCCAATCAATTTATTTTAGTACCTGAATCTTGCGGTTTTGTCCACGAGTATTAGAATAAAAGATCCATGTGTTTATAGATAATTAATTATCTAATCATGTATCAAATTTTATTAAAAACTATTTTAAGTAACTAACATCCGAATTGCCTTCTTTAAGTTTCACAACTACAAGATATATCATAGTTAAGTAAAGCATGTTTTACATTAACAATAAATTTTACTCAAATCCCAATAAAAAAGAGGTATTCATATTTTGTTTATGTAAGGTATTAAATTTTAATGATTCTTTCTTTAACGAAAAGGTTTCACCTTACTGTTCCCATACATAAATTATTAAATAACAATTTTCGCTAAAACATTGAAGTTTAGTAATAGTAGTAGGTATAACTGGTATTTTATAGTCTGTATATACACAAAATATATCTAAAAGCATGTCCACGCGGAGCTCAATGACAATGACTCTTGATTGTTATTTTCTAATCATTAATTTATTTTAATTGACAGAGATAATAGTTATTTGGGGATCCGTTTAGCATTACCGGCGGGTTACTGCGCCATAATATATTTTAGATGACATCATACTCAGCATAACTGCCAATATAAAGATTCACAGAGTAGTTTTGTATATAACGGACAGGTACTTGAGACGATCGAAGATTCAAAGACCGTATGCACAGATAGATTTATTAGTTCGATCAATCGTAACGATCTATATTTCGATAAAAACATTGGATACGATTACCAATAACGACTGTGAAGATTTTCTACGCGATAGGCATAGATAATTAATGTGGTTGAAATGAGATAAATATATTTTTTTTTTATTTATTTAAGAATTATAACTCTCATGGATTTGATATCTCATTTTAGGGTTTCATACCAAAAAGGTACAAAGGAACCCTTATGACGCGACTTTGTTCGTCCGTCCATCTGTCACAGCGTTATATTTTCTTCTTTATACATTTTAAATTATATATGACGTTTTACCCTGTAAGTGTGAAATGTATGAATGTAAGCATTTTAGTAGGTATAATCTACCTGATTGACACCAATAAAGAACGTCTTAAATCATTTTAATGACAATAATGTATTTACATAAACATCTATTTTATAGTGGCATGTTATCTTATTGTTAATCAAGGAATAAAACAGATATGAAATGTAATACCATGTTTATCATACATACTTCTTGATATGACAAAGAAACTGTTGTCCCACCTGATGAAAAGTGGTAATTATCCCCAATAAACATAAAGAGCACCATGAACCTCACAAAATGCAATGTGATGTGCTTAATTCCCATGATGTATCACCATTCCTGATGACTATGTTGTTATGTCTCTGTACTATATATTATAATTTCATTCCTATCTCTTCAATCCAAATAGTAAACCTAAATTGCTCATATATTATTGAAAATAATTGTACTTTGTTTCACTGCCTTTATTGTTTACTATCTTTTTGCCGGTTACATCATATGTGTGGGAAAACTAATGAAATGGACTACTTCTAGATGGTGTATCAAGATAAAATATATACCAGTTTTAGTTGAGAAATATAACAGTTTGATGCAGTAGTTTTTGCATGATACCAGAATAAACATACAGAGACAGACAGATGACAGGAAATTTTAAAAAAAATTATTGTTTCAGCTTCTACTGTTGTTATTCAGATCTCTTATATCAATAGTTCTTAAATATCTCCAATATACATACATTGTTTTGTTAAAATTTTATTTTATTAGTACTTATATACATGTAGTAGTTATTTATTTATTTATTTGAAAGATTATAGATGTGACAGATTTCAAAACTTCATTTTCAGGCATACTTTTAAAAATTATTAAAAAGTTTATTTCCCAATAGTTGCCTATTGGGAAATATTTTTTTTTTAATTTTTATTTAAATATAGAAAAATAGTTAACAAAAGATTAATTTTAAAAATTAATTATACACACATATATATCTGTCACACCTGTCAAATACAACTATATAGGTGTAAATTTTATTACAATATTTGTAATTAACATTTAACTTATTACAACCAGTAGAACATGTCTCACTTGACTTGACCTTGACAATTAAATCAATATTTTAAGACTAACAACTGGCTACAGGTAGTGACTTTGCATTTTTGGTACAAAAGCTTTACGTGAGTCAAAGTAGCAGTGAATTAGTAATGATGTAAAAATAACCATGAATTTTTTATAAGCTTAGTATTTTTGTGGTTGGTAGTGTAACAAATAAAATAAAAAACATATTTTCTCTCTCCCTTTATTCAATGTTTTTAGGGATATATTCATAACTGTTTCTAAAATTTATAATATAAATTTATAGTTTCAATACAGGCCAAATATAGGCAGTAATTCTTTTTTTTTTACAACACGGGGGGCAAATGATTTTTTTATACAACTTAGAATGGCAAACAAGCTAACAGGTCACCTGATAGAAAGAATTTATAATTGAAAAAGATACATGGAACCATTTTTATTAACATTAAATCCTAATTCTTAATAAGTAATTAAAATATTTAATTCTGACTTTTTTTTATTTAAGCAGTTAACTGTCCACTGCTGAAACTAAGCCTTCCCTATAAGGAGAGTTTTGCCACTAGTTGCCACGTTTGGCCAGCAGGTTAGCAACTACAGTCAGCCTTTTAGAATTGTTATTAAAGGGATGCTGCTGCCCATCCCTTGCCCTCCCACAGTCAACCTCTTACAACACCTATGGTAAAGAAAGGGGTTTGATGTTACTCATAGATAAAGATTTAAAATTTTTTTTTATGCAACTTAGAATGGCAAACAAGCTGATGGTCCACTTGATGTTATGTGTGTTTAATTATTTATTATATATATTACTAAGTAGTGTAGTATTTTACAATTTTTCTGTAAATATTTTATTTTAATAATAAGGCCCCTCAGTAATAAAGAAAACACACAGTTACCTATTTATCTAATACACAGATATGCATACATATAATATTTATATATAAATATCAAATAAAAAATACATACTAGGTTTTATTCACATAAAATAGGTAATATATTAGTCAAAATCTCTATTTTGTCTTTATATCTCTGTATTTGTGTCATAATGATTTCAATAAATAAAAACTGTTAAAACTAACCTCTTCTGTGACATTTTGTCCAGCTTTTTTCTTGATATCAATCAAATTAAGCACGTTTCCAGTATTTATTGTCACTTTAGAAGCACTCTTTAGCATCGTGGCCAATAAGATTCGGATTTTTTATTTAAATTGTTGATTCTATAAGTAAATAATAGGTACTTGTTACAAGGTTAGCGGTGTATAAAAAAATAACTGACAAAGATATTATACACACGCAACCTAAACAAGCGACGACGAATTACTAAATGTGAATAGCCTTGTACAGTTCAGGAAAATCGAAGCAAAATATGAAATATCATATGATCAACATCACTATGGTGAAATCACACGACCAACATGGTCATGATTATTTGACAATTTAAGTGCAAGTTTGTATAAAATGATAAGGCAAAACAAGAAATTTTATTTATTTTATTTCATAATAATAAAATTATCAATTTAAGCCAGGTCGTAAACCAGGCTGATAATTGACATTGACAGTAATAGCTGTCAGACTGATAACTGACATTAACTTCCAAGTCTGACATAAAACTTTTGTATTATAGATAAAGAATAGTTTGTAGTATTCTTTTTTTTACATAGTCAATGGTGGTCAGTTTGGAAGAAAAACAATAAAACATAGTTAATATATATGTACATAATATTTTTTATTATGAGACAGTTACGTAAAAAAACAAAATGCTATATTTTTTTATGTGTGAAATGGTATGGTAACCCCGCCTGCGCTAACGGGATAAGCTGGCGGAGCACCAGTGAAGGGTGATAGATGAGAATGAAAACAGACCAGTTAGCCCATCATGATGAATTCATCAGGAATTAACCATGATAGTTTCCAGGGGGAACCGCGAGTAGGTCTCAATCTCCATTACTAACAATCCCTTTCCCTCCACAAAATGCTATTCTTAATTAACATATAGTGACCGAACGTACATATTCAACGTTATTAGAATCAAATATTACTTAGACTGCGTTTAGGTCTAGGTTAAATTTATGAGAAAAACAGGGTTACTATACATATGTAATTTTTACATTATCGCTCTCTCTCTTTTCATTTAAGAGTTTCCTCTTGTCGGTGCAACTAATTCATGCATCTTCATCCAGCCAACTCTATTCCAGGCCATATCCTTGACCTCCCTATACATTATAAATCCTATTTGTATGATCATAGTTTAAAGGTAGTAGGTATTCTTTTTCTACGCCATAAAAGTAGCAAAACAGTCAGTCTAATGTTTTTATTTTCTGTCAATTGATCACGCTGTCAGTCAATCTATCATTTCAATAATAAGTTTATATTAGTTCATTCAGTAAAGTCATTTTCAGTAGTTTCATTGTTTTGTCTTACATATAAAAATATTTATATTATAAACTTTCTGCTTTTTCTATTTCTTATTCAATAATATTGAAATTGATAATTCCATTCTTGAATCTCGTTAGTGTAACACTATCTCATTATGGGTGTTGACATTCTAGGATTCGCGTACGCCGCTACAGTTGCCGCTGGTGGCATTATGGGTTATGCGAAAGCAGGTCAGTATACTTAAAAATTGTTCGAATTCCTAAATACCTAATTTATATATATATTTTTTTTAATATATAATAGCAAACAAACGGTCACACGATGAAAAGCAACCGTCAACAATAGATAAGAACATTATCATGTATATTATAAAATAAATACATTTTGATAGAGGTACCGCTCATACATTGCCATTCCTGAAGACTAAGTCTTTCAAATTTATAAGCATGATTACCAATGTAAGGCCAACCTTGCAATGTATGGTTTGAAACTTTTCTGAATTGGCACACTTTCTTTCGAGTTAGTTTTGAGATAAGATAATCTTAGATAGTCTATTTTTGTAATCATTATTTTTTTAATATTCATGTTTCCTCTACGAGATAATTTCAATCTAATATGTGCATATATTAATATAATTAATTTGATCGACTTTCTTATGTAAAAAGGTAATATAGAACTAATATATCAATTGCAAGAATAATGTTTCAAATCCAACTGGTAGTTGTAGAGATTAATGTGTTTATAATAAATCACATAAAGATTGTGTGATTTATTTGTCACTTATCCTGAATGGGAAATCTCTGAATAATTTTTGTTAATCTTTGTTTAATTTCTGATTTTTGCCCTTTGACATATTAATCTCATCATATCTAAATGGTTAGTCTATTATGAAATGAATCTTCGAGTTTTTGGACTCAAGTTCATGTTTTTGTTCATACTGAAATCAGCCCAGTAAATGGAGTTTAATATTTTGTTCGTCATATGTATTTTGTAATTTTAACATTAAATTTGTGGGAAAGAAAAAATGGAATGGTTTGGAAGATCTTAGTAAATTCAAACTATATGAAATTAGTATATGAAATATATTCTTCATAAATTTTGAATATAAGCTGTGCCCCCTATATTGGCAGCTTGGTTAGAGTAATTGCAAGGTATTGTTAACCATTAAATTAAAAAGAAATATATCATCATCATATCAACCTTAACTGTCCACTGCTGAACATAAGCCTCCCCCTTGGGTGGTTTTTCCAGTAGTTGCCATGTTTGGCAAGTAGATAGACAACTACAGTTAGACTTTAGTGATGTTTTAAGAGAGATGCTGCTGCCCATCCTTTGACCATTTAACAAGTATACAGTGATTTTATTTAGCATAGTTCAGCCACAACCTGTCTTCCTGTTATACTCTAGACAACTGATATTTAATATATCCATTACTGAGCCAATATATAGATATTGACCTTTAATATATAGCAATATCTAATAGAGTGTGCTAACATTCTAGTAAAGTGTGGTGTGATCTGAAAAATTAGGAAGCACTGATTTAAACATAAAAAATAGTTACAAGAAAATTTTCCGATGTTTATTTATTTATTAAAACTTTAAAACACAATATATGTGTGCATTTGACGAACTTAATGCTGATAGATGTTCTCTATTGGGTACAACCATTGGGTAAATTGTAAGATAGGTAGTGCATATGAGTTAAAGAATCAGTTAATTATGATATTAATATTTGATATTTAATAGAATAGAAATAATCTTTATTCAAATATATTTGTTTACAAGCTCTTGTAAATTTTTTATGATTGTACTTTTTATTATTGTGCTGGGTTCGGGATGAGGTTATCTGTTGAAAAGAACCCACAAGTAATAGTTTCTCTTTTTAAATTATTATCTACAAAATAATTTTATATTTGCATGAGTATTGTAACTATAATTACCACCAGCCAGGATTTAAATCATAATTACTAAAGTAACTGACATAGCCCGAATGATAAGCATGCTGAAGGCAATAGGCTGGTCACATAGTTTGAAGAACCGACAACCAGTGAAGAGGAAAGGTTCTTGAGTGGCGACCCCGTACGGGCAAATGCTGTGTAGGACGACCCCCCATTGACGTGAAGATGTGAACCACCTGCATCCACTGACTCCCTGCAATGCATTTGAGGTCGTCACTCCATTTAGCAGGGTTTGCTCTACATTGCGTTTATCTGTACGCGATCGCCACTCGAGAACCTTTCGCATTGGTTCTCAGTTCTTCGAGCTATGTGACCAGCCCATTGCCACTTCAGCTTGCTTATCATATAATATACTTGTATATAACTTTTTATTTGTGTTTATTTTTTTATAATATAGTAGGGTTTATCTGTGATTTTTTTTGCATAATGTTCATTACTTCAAATACTATATGAGCATAAATAAAACAAATAAAATTAATACATTCCTATTTAATGTTTCAGGATCCATACCTTCTCTGGGAGCTGGAATTATTTTCGGATCGATATTAGGTAATATAAATTTATTTTACTTTATTATATTCCCTCTTGAGCTAGACTTATATACCAGATTGAGAATGTACCCTAGTCAGCATTATACTGTTAATCAACCTTTATACAAGTGGCAATTTAATTCATTATAAGGGCCTCAAAAAGGAAGAGATTCTCAATACGCCTGCTTTTTTTTCTACTGGTATTTGGCACTATCTTTAATAATAAATTAATATAAATGGAATCAGATTATATATTTTTAAACATAATTCCGATCTTTCCTTTTTAAGAGATGGCAGATTAACCCCCGGTAGAAACACAGTCGACTGGGAATTCAGTGCCCACAGGAGAGAAACCGGAGAAAAAATATTATATTTATTATTAATTATATTATTATACTAGTATTTTTGCCTACTACTTCGTATGCGTAGATTTCAAAAGTACTATAACCAAGTAATTGTTCACTTCTAGATGGCGTATAAAAAAACACTGTTTTATAAAATTAGACCTTCAGAAAAACAACTGTAAAATTACCGCATTCAATTAGTGCAGTAGATTTTACGTGATGCCAGAACAAAATTACAGATAGACAGCCAGAAAAATTTCTAAAGATAATTGTTTTAACTTCAGTTGCTTTTATTAAGACGCCCCTTTCACGTATGCCCATTTTTTTTTAAATATCCCTCTTGTACAGACATCGTCCAGAATTAATTTTATTATATTAGTAAGATTATTAATTTACATACATACATATATGTATGTATTTATATATATCTGTCATGTAGTCTCACTAGTGTAGAGAGAAACAATAGAATGCCATATCCTTCGATCAAACAGGATTCTCTCTTATTAATTTAATCATTATGAAATAATACGAATGTAATCATATTTGAGATACGGATAAGATGATAATGGTGTGACGCGATATCTTCGCCAGTTCTGACTCATTTTTGATATTATTTCTAGCAATCCCAAAATAATTATGCTATGCTGAAATAGCTTGTTTTTTATCACATGTATTTCTTAAAGGTATAGTTTTTTTTAACATCTTATATATAACAGTAGGTATAGGGGGGAAAGGGATTGTTAGCAATAGTGTTTGACAGCCCCATTGCTAGCAGTATGCCCTATTAGGTCGACCTCCACGTGAAAACCATCGTGAACAATTTTTGTTGAATTCGTCACGATGGGCTAACTGACCTACTTCATCCTCACCTATCATCCTTCACTGGTACCCCGCCGGTGTATACCGATAGCGCGGGTGGGGTTACCATTCCATTATCACCAATTTAAAAAAAAACAGTAGGTATAGTCAGATACACTATACTTGTATTTAAATTATGTACCTATTAGTTCATGAGGATAGTAGTATGTATATCAATATTACTACCAGTCATCATCATTCATCATCAGATCAAACAAGTATGACAAGATATCTTGCTTGAAAACTTAATGTGCCAATTTTTTATTATGAAACTATACATAGGCACTTTAGAATTTGAATTTAATTTTTGGAATGATTGTACTGTAATTTTGAAAGATTTGTTAAATAAGATCTGCATAATTTGGACTTTTTTTCAGGTGTCGGGGCATATCAACTTAGTCAGGATCCATCTAACTACACACTGTCCCTTGGCACCACAACCACACTTGGTGGTCTTATGGGATATAGGTACTATAATAATGTGACTATAAAATCAATTGATATTCAATAAATATGAGCCAGTTAGACTTTCTTGTTATTTAAAAATCCCGTATCACGATGTTTGTTCATGCTAATTTCCGAAATCACTCAACCGATTCAAATAAAATTCTGTAAATGTGTATTGTTTACTCCAGCTTCAGAGATAAAACTTACTGAACCCGACAGGTGATTGTAGGGATAAAATAACGTATACCGCATCAGCTATACTAGTTTTTATTCTCGATTTCGTCAGCGTGACCGAAATATTCATTTATTTATTTTATCAACTGAGTGAGCTTTAGTTTTCCAATACAGAGGAAAGCATCAGTACAGTAACACATGTATAAAAGAATTGAATTATATTAATTAGATTTAAATTAGAACATAACAAATAATAGAAATAACATCTATATCTCTGAATACAAACAGTCTGTGGTCATCCGACGAAACTCCAGCAAGTTAGAGGCGAAAACGTCTTAATGCGGATACCGGCTCAATACATAATTGATCAGTTGTAATGCAAGAGAGAGAGGAGCTTGCTTAGCCATATGTTAACCGACCGGAATAAAAAGTAGCCTATGTCCTTATCCATCTCAATATCAAATTTCATTATGATTGGTCAAGTCGTTAAAGTGCTAAGAGGTATCAAACAAATTCACTTTCTCATTTGTTGTCTTAGTAAGGATATATATATTTTTTTAATAATATATTTATTTACTTACAGATATTACAACAGCAGAAAGTTCATGCCGGCCGGTCTCGTCTTCTGTCTCTCTCTCGTCATGTTGACGAAATTGGTAGTTAAAAATGTCGGCTCCAGTCCGGTTCCTGTAAAGTCTGGTTAATATTTTACCTATTGTTGTATCGTATCCCTCCTATTATAATGATTTCTATTTAGTGTAAAAAAAAACCACAGGTATATCAAAGTTAAAAACTACCTTAATGGTATAAACAAGAACCAGGTAAGAGGAACTGCAAGTACTTTTTAAAAATGTTTAATTTAAAATACTCTTGGGAGACAAGAGTAGTAGAGTTGTAATGAATTAGACATTGTACTGCGCTTATTATATATGTTGAGAAATTATCCAAATATGAGGGAAAATATTAGGAAAAATAAAGAATGATCACATAGACCGAATAAAGCAGATCTTATAATATGGCATACTGCGTAGATTCGGGAAACTGAGAGGGAACAGGATGATGTAAAATAAAAACTTTGCTTTGGCGCTATTATCGCATTTAATCAATCAATCAATCTCGGTCTTCTTGCCCGCCTTTAGTAGTGTAGGCGGGTGAGGTAGGGGTCTCGGGGTAAACCCCTTTACCCCGGCTGCATCTCCGGAGGCAACTACCTCCGGGTCGCTGGGTTCTTGAGCCGGCATACACTGGTGGTCTGTGTATGCCGGCGTGGTGTCTTCTTTGATGTGGCCTCTTCTTCTTTCTTGTTATATATATTTTATTTATTATATTATATATATATTTTATTTATTATATTATATATATATATATATATATATTATTTTTTTTCCATTTTTATAATAATCGCATTTAATATGACAACAAATAGTAAAAATACTGTTTTTTTTTTATGTTGGCAATGACATATCCAACCGCTTTTGTCGTCAGTAAAATTGATAGTTCTGAAAGTGTGGCCAATATAGCGAGGTTTTTATTTTTGTATAGTGATGGATGTTATTGTATATTTCTGTAGTTTTATATAAAGTAGTTTTGGTAAAGTTTTATTGTAGTGTTCTGTACGTGTTGGGTCTATACATAATTTATTTCTACTTTAAGTAAATGTTGTTTAATTTATTAATTATTATTTAAGTAATAAAAATTAATTGCTTTTAGATGAAATTGAGAAAGCATGATATTTTTATGAAATGGAATATTATAAATAAAAGGTTTTGGGATTGGAAAAAAATATGGTTTTTATTCGATATACCTAGTAAGTGTTTATATGGTAGGGACATTAACGAAATAAAACTGCCATTTCATGTTTGTTATTTTCTATTTTTTTCTTAAAATTTATACAAATTTGTGATGAAATTTAAGATTGAATTCATACATAAATAGTTTGAACAAAATAAATAGTTAACGGCAAGCGATGTCACACAGTTACCTAATAAGATCACTGTTTCTCTATCAAGAAATATTACATCCAAAATTAACTTTTAATTTTTTTTTTACTCTATTGGTAACTTTATAATTACAAATCTATAGTATGTCACATAAATAATTTTTAGAAATTAAAAACAGGCTTATATTAATTATCAAATTTCGTAAATGATAGAAATAAAATAAAAATTCTCAAAAAAACAGTGTAAATTCACTTAAAAAAATAATTGTATTACTAATTGTTCGGACGGTCGCGAACCAGTCGCTTTACATTCGTTTAAACAAAAAAAAAAAAAAAACTTAATACATCTCCTTAATATATACTGTATAAAAAAGGCACTTCGTGGCAGTTGATTTCGTTAACGAATGCTATTTTTACAACCGTTTTACATATATATTAAATGGGCTAAGGAGTATTTCTAATTCCATAACCGACCTAAGATTGTGATCACCCGCGGGCATCCCGCAATACTTTCATACGACATAACCTAATGTACTTATTGTTCATTAATAGTAACACAATCACATTGTAATATCACTCACTGAACATCGTCTGACACTTGAAACGTTCCGTCTTCAGACTCGTTGCTCACACGTAGCACGGTCCCGTAATCACAATTACACGAATATAATTATCTATACCCATAAGGAATTGTATTAAAAATAAAAACAAGCAAATCCTTTATCTGCTTGCTCTTATTTTGTCCTATTTCGATTAAAATTAAAACATTAAATTAAATTTTAAAATTAAATTTGACTATTAAAATAAAATTTGATTTTAAAATTAAATTTGAATTTAAAAATTAAGATTAAACTTTAAAATAATATGTTGAATTTTAATTACATTTAAATTTAAACTTCAACTTAGTACTTTAAATTATTACTTTATGTTAAAGTACTACAAGGCCGATATTTAAATTACATTACAGTATAGATATTCGTGCATACGGGTGTGCTAATTTCACACGTAAATAAAATTGAGGGCTGGAATGGTGACTGTCCCTATGGGTCCGAATGGCCTCTATGGCCCAGGTCCGTGGTAGTCGCTCCAGCGTGGCAGTCTTGTGCTCGATCCGCTTTATTTTTTTAGTGGCGGCTGCTGTAAAAATAAATAGAATAATTAAAAAATTTAGATATAATAAATATTATTTATTATCGTACATCAGTATGTATCGATATGCCGAAATGATTATTAATTACTAATTATGATACTGTTATCACACATTCCTATAAATGATGACGTTATAGATGTATAAATAAGTACAAAAAATTATATATACGAGTATGACAATCGTGGGAGCTGATGAAATATTTCTGTACTTATTTGTAGTATATACTGTCTGTATATATAACAGTGATAGTAACAAGACTTCATTTATTAGATAGATACATATTACATATGCATGCATAACCTATATTTTAGATACGTTACAATGCATGGCAAATTACTTCAACAAACTCATAGAAAACAAAGCTTGTGCAGTCGATGCTTTTGCAGGTAAATTTATAACCTATTACCCAAACTACGTTAATAATTAATGTTCAAGTTATTTGCCGATGTCTATAAAGAATTATAACATAATACAACATTAGGTACATTAATTATTAAAATTTAACAAAGAATGGGTAGATATAAAATACTACATCGCATGCTCTACTTGTGATCATGATGTTTACCAGAAACTATAGATTTATTCACAAAATATGATATATATTATACATAATTTGTACAAATTAAATAAATTTTAATACAAAGAAAATTTCAAAGATTCTATTTAGAAGTTCGATTGAGTTGGAAGAAGATAGTATGTATACAGGTATATCTAGTTAACACTTATTTGTTACTTGTAAATATATATGTATTTAAATAGAAATCCATAGACAAATATATTTTTTGTTTAAATGACTTATCTCTTAAACTAAGGAATAGGTAAGAATGGAAACTTATGACACTTAATAAATAATAAAATTATATTAAATAAAATGTAAATACACATACACATTTATATATATACCTATCAACCAACATTCGTTTGACATTAGATTATATGAGTAGACAATATATTCGGTAAGTAGGTGTTTCAAATTAAAATAGGTCCCAATGATGGTTGATAATTCATGGTGTAGATTCTGTTATACTCGTAGGATGTCAAAATTACATATTCTGACAGATTTTTTTTTTAATTAGGCACACCTTATCCTACCGAGATAGACTAAAAAATTCTGTTAAAATATTATTTAATGTACATATGTTTTTTTTTTAATTTAAAATTCTCTAGAAATATTTCCTTAAAAATAATTTACTATTTATTTGAGTTGTAACAGGAAATACACCAAATGCCAAATATAATAATATGGTAAAGAAGAATGCTAATGACTAAATAATTAATACACATCATTAACAATGACAACTAATAGGTAGTTATGTACAATTTGAAGTAGGTATGTATTTTGAATATTAATTTGAAGTATCAGTATGACAGGCACATGAGTAGTAGAATGGTCTCTTTATAAACAGTCTTGAATGTTTATATTGATCGAAGTAGAAGATAAAACATTGGTAATTACTTATTAATGTTGGTACGAACGCGGATTTTCTATTATAAAAATATTTGGCTTTTATAATTTTTCATTAATAGATACTTTTGTAACTAAGTTATATTATGACAGTACCGTCATAATATAAACTATTATTTGGTACACATATTTTTATTAATATAATTTGATTTTAAAATTGGAATACGTATGATGATATTAAATATGAAAATCCGCGTCTCTACACATTAGTTACTCTGACAAATGTACTTTGTGAGTGTTATGTATGAAGATCTAAATGATGTAGGTACATCCAGTGACACAATGACTCCGTTAACCCTTAATATCTTACCAATAAGTGTCATATTACTGCGGCACCTCCTCTGCGGTCAAATTTCTCTGATACGAGAACACCAATCTCGCCGGCTCTATTTGCACTTGTTGAGAATTTGCGTCCGGTCGTATCGAATTGTAACTCTGTGGTTGTGAGTAATAGGTGCCTATTTTGAAGACGGATTTTACGCCTTTGTCGAAATATGGACTTTTTGTGGTGCTCCCCGCGTAGAAATTGTTCTTATTGTAGAAACCCTGGGTGGGGTCATTGTTCCTGGTTGTGAAGTCTTTGAAGTCGTATGGATTCTTCGTTGAGGTGATTGAGTATCTGTTTATTGACGGTGGGTAGGTGTAACTCGATGATTGCGTCGTGGGCGTGTAGTATTGGATCGGTTTCCTTGTAGTGCTGTAGTACTGCGTGGTCGATATGGGCTTTTGGTTGTAATTTGAGTAGAAATTCTTTTGGTATGGCTGTGTCGATGCTTCGTAACTGTGTGTAAAGAGATTATTAGTATTGTGCTTGTGTACCGTCGACAAACACAACATCGACTTATTTTTCATATTTGATTATGTAGTAGGAATATATACACTTATAATAAAATTTCTATGCTGACAATACAATACGAGCTATTGATATATCTAGCAGACGTACTTACAGAAGCACTCTGATAGATATTTTCCATTTTTAATATAATATTGTTATGTTAACACTGTAATACTTTATTTCTATTGTGTCATATAAATAAATTAGTTATATACAAATTACAATAATTATTATAATCAAAACTGTAATGCATGTCTATATTATGAAAATAAAAATTAGCATGCTGTACAATCTTATATATATATATATATATATATATATATATATATATATATATATATATATATATATATATATATATATATATATATATATATATATATATCTACAGGGTGCAACGAGAAAGACAATACAAACATCTAAAATGTAATTCTTTCACAATAAATATCATTAGTTATTTAGTAAGTTAATAATGACATCGTTACTTGTCATTGTCACATATTTACGTAATTTTTCTTTTGTATTGAGAAATGTTAGTTTTATAAATATAATACTATCACTATATTTTAGATCCTCATACGATATTCGTTGCACCGTGTACTTGTATATTTGTATTAATATCACGATAGTAACTACTCGTTGTACAATTTATAAAGAGAATACGCACCTGGTAATATTTCCATAGAACGGACTCGTCTCCGGGCGGACGTAGCTGGGCGTGTGTTGTGAATAATCAGGTATTATGTTCTCGTGTTCAGTTATACACCTTCCGTTTATGCAGTACTGTAATCAATTAAAAAACAATCATTAAATTATGAATCTGGAGTTTAGTGCAACCTAGACAACGAATCTCGAAGTTAATTGGCAAATCCTTTTAATGGCAAAACTTAAAAATAATCCAACACTTAAGCCTGTAATCCGTATCTCGATCCTGTGTCCAATCTGTATCTCGATCAATATCGAAGGTTTTCTTTTAAAAAAACACTGTACTTTGAGCTCTGTAAAGACTCATTGATCTTTTGTACGTATAAGAAGTGCATCGAAATAATACCAAAACAAGGTCTTGTGTCTCTGGATTCACCCTTATCTTCGAGATGTGGTAACGCATTAACAGGTTCAGTATCTTAGCATTTCAAATATTTCAAACAAGTATTCAGTTTCGAAAACTCATTAAAGGTGCCAAGGTACCAGACATTGCACAATATAGTGTGCTGCATGCTATATTCAGCGATATCTGGCGCTGTTCATATGTATAAGTTATAAATTTTTATAAAAAGTTAAAAAATAGGATTTTCAAATCAGCTAGTTTTAAAACATTTCTTAAATTCTTTTTTCAAATTTAAAAAAAAGAAGTACATGTATTCTGTACCTGTCCGTCCCCGCAAGGCGAGCCCTCCGCTGCTGGCCGGTACGCTACGCAGTACCCGCTCGCTGCGTCGAAGCAAAACAGCTGGGCGCACACGCGCTCATCTTTAAAACAAGCGCTGGAAACCAAATGATGTAAATAGAGGATGTGAAATATGCTCACGACTGCATTTTCTAATAGAAATGACTATTACTATTGTGATACACTACCACTACCACTTAGTAGCTTATTATTACTTAGTAGTTTGTATTCACACAAATTCATTATTTATATAGTTAAACTTTTTGAAAAAAGCAACAGCTGAGTTTCTTGCCCTTTCTTCTTGGCTGAAGTTGCGTTCCGAATGGACGGTAATGAAAAAAATGATTATTGAAAAAAGCTTAAATCTAAGTTTACTCGAATAAAAATATTTCTTTCTTCTTTCTAATTTATTTTTGGTGTTAGTATAAATCAGGGTAGTATAATGTTACAATGATATAATTCTCGCAACGCTCAATAATTTTTTCAGTTCGAAGGATAGCTAAGGCAGTAATATTGACACGAAAAGCACAATACCACAGGAATATTCAGAACTAATAAAGTATCAGATCTATATTCTCTGATAGCGATTGTTTTTTATGTTTATACGTGACGGTTTCTATTATAGTCAAGTGCACTCTATAAAAACGAAAAAATAAATATATTATTTCTAAAGCGAACTATAAAAAACAAAAATCTATAGAATTGATTTATTTATTCTTTGAAATTTTTTGTATTGCCTGCCTAATGTCATATGGTAGAATAAATAAAAGAAAAATATGGAGACTCTGTATAAAAGTCGTCTCGGCTTCCCCCTCTCTTTCGTAAAGCAGCTGTGCTTGCAGTCAGTAAAATTCCAGGGTACGAAGACATAACACCATAGTCCTAATACAAAGCAGTACGTGGAGGGTACGATCGGAATCACAGAGTATTCTATGCCGTCCATGGTGCTGTTCATGTCTATACCGGTTACTGCTTTCCATCATTATGTACACTTCTCTATACTCACCTAGTGCCCCTGTCCTTCCGGCACTGCGCGTCTAGTGTAAGCAGACGGCCGGGCAACACGCGCGGTAACGAGTCGTCCTCGTGTGGTGAATTATACAAACACGTCGCCGTATCGCCGCTGTAATGAGAAAAATACATTTATAGACGATGTCCTATTTGACAGAAAATGTAGACGATGTCCTATTTGACAGAAAATAAATTCAACGTCATTATGTCATGTTGATGACGAAGTAGAAGCTTAATTTTAAACATAAACGTCGATGTCAACGAAACTCAGTTTAATTTTGTTGTTTTGTTATATTCTGTTGAATTTTAATTGATGACGAAATTTCTTTGATTTTTTAAATTAATTAATTTAATTTTAAATATTGACTAAAATTTTATTCATTTTAAATTCTGCTTTTAATATTATTATTTAAAATTTATAAAATTTTAATCATTTAATATTAAATAGAATTATGTTGTAAAACTGAAAGTATCAGTCATTATTCGGTCGTTGATTTACATGAATTTGTGTGAGCATGAGTGTTAAATAGTTATTGATTTCCATAAACAATGAGTAGCATCATTTTTATGATTAGGTTAGTACATACAGAGGAATATTTTGAGAAAGCAATCAATTAGAATCTATTACCAAAATTTTTATCTGAGAATCACAGTAATAAGATCTACTTACTTTAAGAAATGATGGAAGCTCTGCACGCTACATGGTGACCACCTAAACCCTTTCTCGGTATGCCTGAGATCTGACATAATGAAGCCATCTTCCCATCTGCACTTTTCAGCTCCTGGCCCTCCAAGATAAGAAGGTGGAGGACTTCCATCGTGGACCGCTCCTAATCTGTAAGTTTATTCCAGGCTATAAGGGCGTATTATATTTAGTTAACGAAATCAACTAAGATTACCAGAGAGACTTTGTACTAAAGTCGTTTGCTTGGGCACCTCTGTCCCATTCGTGTTTCTACCGAGAAGCACTTGTGTTTGCATTGCTGTGTTTCGGTTTGTAGGGATATGGGAGTAAATTTACAGGGTACGGAGGAATAACATCTGAGTCCTCGGGACATCCATCCACATCCGTCCACCTGAGACGCTGGCGGGGTATCGTGCGTGAAACAGTATATTCTGTTATGTCTATGGTACTGCTCATGTGTATAAGCGACGGTTAGCATTTTCCTTCAGGTGGGGCGTTAGCTTGTTTACCATTTTAAGCTGCATTAGAAAACAAAACAAAAAATTCAAAAGATTAACGTCGAGTCGATTAAAGGTTGTTTACCTTTGTACTCGTAAATGATGACATGTAACATTATGGTCTACGAACTTAGCCTACTCTTTCAAGAAATGTATGTATAAAAAAGATAAACTTTGTAATTTTTATAACAACGTGAGCAACAGCAGAAATAACTATTATGAATATCACGCAAGTATCTTTTCTGTAAATAAAATAAAAATCTTACAAATGTCCGACTTCGTGAGCAGCAACGATGATACCAGAGAAACCGCCGGTATCCTCAATTATAGCTACAGAGTTGACCTTCTCCAATCTCTTGTTGACGACACATGCACCCCCGACGTATGCAAACCCTGCAGTTTCATTGTTATCATTAATTTAACAGCCATTAAAAAGGAAAAATTTAAAAATAATATATTTGTCTATGGATCGTAGGATAAAGGAGAGGTTCTATTCTACTTAAATTGATGGGTGTTAGAGCTACAATAAAATATAATATATTTAACACAATATGAAATAGAAATATAGTTATACCTAAGAAGTTAATATTTAGAATAGGTATGTTATAATTTTACTTAAAATTATATAAATCTATCATATATAGGTACTTACATTATAATTAAACGATGATGGATAGGTTGGTTCTATAAGATATAGTAACATAAACATGCAAAATTCATGCGAAAGCAGTTAAGGCTACCATGCTATTTATAGAAAACACCAACTACTTAATGTTCTAAATAAATAAATAAGAAGATTTCGTGTAACATATAAAATGGAGAAAAAATAGCATGTTGTCATTGCCATATAATGTGATTATAGATTAGTAACAACCCGACATGCAATATTTAGATATACTTAGGTATAGATAGTAAAATGACTATTAATAAAATAGGTAAGTAATTAAAAATTACCGGCACTGCCGGAGAATCCGTCCCTGAGTGCAACTCAGGCAGTCCCATCGTATCTGGGGGGGACAAATTTCTCATCGACGGCGATGCGTTATGCCACGGGTCACGTCATGTCTCCCCTGTTTCCCCAAATGGCAAAAAGAGGGCAAAGGAATGCCAAATTGCAACGATGAATGTTTGTGGAGGTATGGATAGTAAAATAGACGAAGTATGTGAGATGATGAGTGAAAGAAGAATTGATGTATTAGGAGTAAGTGAAACAAAAAAGAAAGGCTGCTCTATTACTACTTATGACCGATATACTGGGTACTGGTCCGGAGTTAATGACTCTGAAAGAAGCAGCCAAGGAGTGGGAGTTATTTTGTCAGAGAGAATGAATGCATCTGTTAAAGAATTTGAATTTGTAAGTCCTAGACTCCTCTGGATACGATTGAAAGTTGGTTTGACCCGTATTTTTCTCCTTTGCGCTTATGCCCCGGATATGTCCAAGCCACCAAAGGTCAGAGAGGATTTCTGGGATAGTGTAAGGGAGATTATGACTAAATGTAAGGAGAATGAAAGAATTATTTTGATAGGTGATTTTAATGGCTGGGTGGGAATCCGTCGCGATGGATATGAAAGGAATTTAGGAATGTTTGGAGATAAAAGAGTGAATGAAAATGGTGAAAGTTTATTAGAAGTATGCCTGGAGAGAAATCTGGTGGTGACTAATACTTTGTTTAGTCACAAACTGATTCATATGTATACATGGCAAAGGCAAACTGAGAGAAGTATGATTGATTTTGTAATTGTGGATGAACGATTGAGAGCGAAAGTGAAGGATACAAGAGTCTATCGTGGTACGAATGTCGGAACTGATCACTTTTTGGTGATATCGAGAATAGGTGGCTTATTCAATAAATGGCGACATCGTCCACGTGTTCGTATGTCAGAAATAGAAAGAGTAAGAGTAGAGAGACTGACAGAAGAACAGGTTCGAAATCAGTATCAAGAAAGATTGAATGAAAGATTTAGAGAGCTACTGAAGAAAGATAACTATGAGATAGAAGAATTTTGGAAGGAATTTAAATGCGGAATCTTTGATATAGCTACTCAAGTTTGTGGTGTAAGTAAGAGGAAGGATGTTAAGATGAGAATGAATGTATGGTGGGATGGCGAAGTGAAAGAAATGGTGGCTCTAAAGAAAAAGGCATGGATGGATTTGTTAGCTACCAGAGCTAATAAGAGAATGCAAGGTAATGTAAGTGACATTGAAAAAATTGCAAAAGAGAAGTATGATGTAATGAAAAAGAAAGTTAAAGAATTAGTAAGCAAAAAGAAAGAGGAATGTAAGGATGAGTATGAAAGGAAATTCTCTAGAAATTTTCGAGCTAATCAAAAGCTTTTCTGGCATTTAGTTCGAACAGCTAGAGGTAAAAAGAGAGATCCGAAAATGGGCGTGATAAGGGATATGGATGGTAATGTTATCACGGAACAAAAGGAAGTCTTAGATCATTGGAAGAGATATTTTGAAAGTTTATTTGAACGTGGAAGTGAAAGAAAGAATGTTGAAAATGAAATAATGGACGAAGAAGTTGACAGTGAAAGTGATATAAGTATGGATGAAGTAATGAATGCAATGAAGATTATGAAATTTGGTAAAGCAGCGGGATTTGATAGAATATCTGCCGAAATGCTTAAAGAAGGTGGAGAAATCATTGTAAACCTGCTGTGTCTGCTGTTCAATAAATGTTGGCGGTCCGGTTGTGTTCCAGGTGACTGGAGCAAAGCTGTTATTGTGCCACTATATAAAGGCAGCGGGTCACAGCAGGAGTGCAAAAATTTCCGCGGAATAAGCCTTCTTAGTGTTGTAGGCAAATTGTATGCTAGGATTTTGATTAAAAGAGTGATGAATGAGACGGAAAGTAAAATTTGGGATGTGCAAGCAGGGTTTCGAAAGGGTATGGGATGTACGGATCAAGTCTTTTCCTTAAGGTGCATAACAGAGAAAACCTTAGCTCAACATCAGAAGGTTTTCTGCGCCTTCATTGACCTTGAAAAGGCTTATGATAGAGTGGAGAGGAATGAACTGTGGTCAACACTGGCAATGTATGGGGTGAGCAGCCATTTGATACGGGCATTCAAATCTTTATATAAGGATTCAAATGCCTGTGTCAGAATAAATGGAGTCAATACAGACTGGTTTGGCATTGAACGCGGTGTTAGACAGGGCTGTGTAGCGTCTCCTTGGCTGTTCAACCTATTTATGGACAGTTGCTTGACCGATTTGAAAGGATCTAATTGTGGATTCAGGATGAATGAGTCTCTGTTTAAGACTCTTTTATACGCCGACGACCAAGTACTTTTTGCATCGTCGGAGTATGAATTACAACAAATGGTGACTATAATGAATGAAGCGTATGCAAGAAAAGGTATGAAAATAAATGCGAAGAAGACGAAGGTAATGGTTTTTGAGAGGAATGAAAGTTTAACGGCATGCCAGATTATGATAGGAGATGAAAAAGTGGAGCAAGTGAGTGAGTTTCTATATTTAGGTTCTTTGTTTACGAGGGATGGGAAGTGTGAAAGAGATATTGAGAGGAGAGTAAAAGCGGGAAACAGTGTTAACGGTGCATTGCTCTCGATTATGTCAAGTAAAAATGTATCGAGCAAAGCTCGCCTTGCTATAATTCAAGGAGTACTGACACCAACACTCATGTATGGAAGCGAATCGTGGGTATGGCAGAAGAAGCATGAAAGTAAGATAAATGCTGTACAGATGAGAGCTTTGAGAAGTATGTGTGGTATTACTTTAAAAGATAGAGTAAGAAACAGTGTGATTAGAGAGAAGTGTGGACTGAAAGTCGATGTAGTGACCAAAATCGAAAAAGGAATGTTGCGTTGGTTTGGTCATTTGGAGAGGATGGATGAAAGAAGAATTACGAAAGAGATTTATCGAGCAAGAATGAATGGAGATGTCGGTAGGGGCCGCCCTAGACGGACGTATGTCGACCAAATAGGCGACGTGCTGAAGAAGGGCCAAATTAAAAGTACCCGTAACCGACGAGCGTGTATGACAAGATTGATGAATGTGGAAGAAGCGAAAGAGGTTTGTTTGAATCGAAGCATTTGGCGTTCCATTGTTTCTGCCTACCCTAATGGGAGACAGGCGTGACAGATATGTATGTATGTATGTAAGTAATTACTATTTTACCATGCGCTGTCTTTAATCTATGCCCACCAGTTTTATAGATATTGTAAATATTTCCTTTTTTAAATATCAAGTAAAAAAAGTATTTCCCGCGTATTTATAAGCATCAACCAATCGAAGTAGGTAGATATTCCCTGCGCATTTTTGAATTCAGAAAATGCCTTTTAGATACTTCAGTAAAGCGAACCAAGATAGACCAGTAAACAAAGTCTAAACTAATACATATAAGTAGATATCACTAAAATATTTCACACGTATCAGCCTAAGATTAATACGCGCTTGTATCTTCGATCATAAACATATGATTGAACGAAACCTCGTGTCATTTAAGTTAAGGTAGGGCCGACTGACCCATTAGTGACCTTACGCAACTTTCTTGCAACTGTAATTGCAGACGTACTAGTGATCTTTTGAATTGACTTGAAGAAGCCAATTGTTACGAAATATATTTACTCAGATACATCAATATAAACTGCCCATAAATGACCAAACATTCAGAAGTTGTTTTAAGTATATAATTATAAGAACCACGTTTTAAAAGTTATTTGAAAGAAAATGCATGCTTTAATTTAATGGCAACGTTTGTTATTTATGCAATAGTTACGTATACAAAACAAAAACTATAATAATTTGATTGTCTGTAGAAAAAGAATAAAATAAAAGATAAAAATAATGATGTTTCTGATACAGAAGGAAAACGCCTAATGAAACTACACTACGTACATAAAAAAAAGTTGAAATATATAGGTAGGTATGTACATAATCTACATGAAGGTGTCCACAGTTTATGCGTCAGAAAAAGTTGTGGAGAGATAGAGAATATTATTCACAAGGTGCGAACGTGTTCGTCGGATCGGATTTAGGTTTGGATAAGGTCCCAATGATACAACGTGTAACAGGGTGTGGGACTTGATGAAAGAAAGGCGTGCTTTCCATATATTTAGTTTTTGACACCCGCCTACCTGCTGTCCCTCTATTGCACGCATCGTTCGCATATTGCCTCCTGCACATGTCTAGTCTGAAATATTATGGAAATAAACAAAACTCAATAAGTACACCAAACTCCCATTCAATCAGCGTGGACCTAGAAAGCGGATTGATTCCATTTTCAAATTAAAAAAATGGGATCAATACATGAGGTTTTTAAATTACTTATCAATAATAAGTGTAAGAACAACATTGTATACATCTATAGAGTTTGTCAGAAACAATAAAAAGACTTGTTGATAAATAAATTAAAACCTCAGGTCTTATCGTGCTACGTGTAATGTAATGCTTGGTAGAACATATTCAGCGCCATTCCCAATCCTTTACCTCGGTACATTAAATAGGAAGCTAAATTAATATCACTGGAAGCCTCTGTTAATGTTGCTGAACCACTCGCAACCATCCTAGAATGGCTTTGAAAATGTAATTTACCAGCAGTGCCTTTTGTACAGCGACCACCCTTCCGTCGTCGGCACATGTCATACCTGTAGGAAATCAGTTTTCGGGACTTCAGTCATTTTCAGTACCTACGTACTTAGGTTATTCATTCACCTTTTAATTTTTATAGTAATACAGTATCTTATGCTAGACCCTCTAAACATGCTTAACAAACTCATTTTTGCATGCTTTTACTAGATGAATTCATTTATTACTTTGACCGTTTGCACAATTATTTCTATTGATCTAGACTAATACACTATTTTTATAGGTATTTCTTTTGCAGAGACTGCAGAATATAGTACTTAATTGTTTTTATCTCATATTTTTTTTTGTGATGGCGCTCAATAATGATAAGTAAAAATATGAAATACAATACTTACCCTCTTACCTGTTAATCCATAGAGCAAGAATGCCAAAAACATAGATTAATTTAAATATAAATATTTATAAAGCAATTTCTCATATCTTTTAAATAGTAGGTAGTAAGTATTTTTAACTATCGCTAACTTTTATTGCAAATGGAACAATTTTCATAAATTAAAAATAAATCAATAAGTAGATGATAATATCTATGCAACTATATATTAATTCTTAATCGTAGTAAATATAAAGTATGAAAATAATTAAAAATACATAAAACCTAGTTTGTTTTTTGAAAAATATAGGTACCTACCTATCGAAATTAGTTTAAAAAATTTTTCTACCATATTTGATAGATATCTATAAAAATCTTATATAGTCTAAGTTAATAGTAGAAGAATAGATTTCTTTATCTATGTTATTGTACTTCACTCATATGTTTTTATTTTAAGCGCAGACTGACAAAGTCATCTTAGTCAAACAGCCATGTATGAATAATTTGCCTTAAAATATCTTTTTTTTTACTTCTTAAAAATTACGATGAACTTACTTGGTGATAGCAACGGCGATATCGTATACAGGCAGTCGTCGCTCTCTGAACAGATACTTGCCCATATCAGTGAGCGCAGCAGCAGAATCTATAGCGTCCCGACCTACCCGGTTTCTCTCTAGGTATGGTGTCGCATCACGGCCCTGCAGAAATTAATGTCAACAATAAACTACGAACGTAAATCATCTCAGATTTGCCTTCAGGGAGAATGGATTGTTGGATATATCCTGTCATTTTAACTTCCACGTGATTACCCCTGGAAACAATTGTAGTTAGTTTCTGATGAATTTGTCACAATGGATCAACTGATCTGCTTGTGCCCCTCCGTCGTATATCAATAGCGCAGCCCTGGTTATCATTTAGTATACCTTTGTTTTATTAGTGTTTCTGTCGTTTAGCAACTGTGACTGCGTAGCAGAAAAATCACAGGGTACGAACCTCTTAGTTTTCAGGAATGGCAAAACACTACTTCCTATTCCTTTAAGTGTTAGATAAACTTGAAGAGATCTCTTAAGTACGCCTTGCTTACATTGTTTCTAATTGTTATTATTATTGTATGTTTTAGTACAATAAATGATATTATTATAAAAATACGAGGGCATCATAATGTCTATATACTCTGTCTTGTTCATATGCTGTTCTATATATATAATGCTTTCTTTTGATTAGAGTTGGGAGTACAAAAATATTTTATTTCGATTGTTTCGGTACGTAAGTATTTAGAATGACCTCAACCTTGTATTTTATATCGTCTCAAATGTAAACCAGTTCAATATTTTATTGATAGTTTATTTTCGCAAAATAATTAAATATACTAAAATAATTAAATAACCGCGATACATATTATTAGTATTGCAGGTGTTACCAAATTATACAAATTGATTCAGTGTTTCTTGGAAAGATCTCGAACTGGTTTTACCGAACAGTCACAAGTATTATACCAATATACATATAGTTACGTTTAGGTATCTGAGTATATAGATTCCTTAGATAGACTCTTAATTAGATTGATTTTGGTACATAGATATACTAACCAGATATAGGTATGTAAAAAAATAATTACTATTTTTTTTATTTGTTAATAAAATTTGTTAATAATGGGATTTTAAACCACAATTTACGTAAACTTACCTAATTAATTTAATTGCTTGTTAATAAAATATAAAGTTATTTAAATCCAACGTTGTTAGCCAATTTGTTTCTATTTATATCAATTTTTATTATACTAAGGCTCCGTATAATAAAAATCTGAAGTCCCTTAAAAACGTATAAATCTTTTTTTTTCGTAGTTAGATTATTATTTTTAAAACTGATGACTTCACAGATAAAACTCAATATAAAAAAAAATATACGATATCAATGAAATCCGCTATTGGTATTGGATGGGATATTTCGCGCCATTTGTTGTTCTAAATTCAAAAATTTTATTTTTGTTTTTGTCTGTTGACCTGCAATTTTCTTCCTATATTTTTTTTTGTTTATATTAATTAATAAAATGGCTGGGGAAGCTGTTTTAAAATATTTGACAGATACAAATCGTCCGTATTCGTGTGCCGATGTGACTACGAACCTCCGTGGAACGTATACAAAGACCGCTGTGCAGAAGGCACTTGACTCTTTGGCCGAAGTGGGAAAAATAAAATGTAAATTGTATGGAAAACAAAAAGTGTACGCCGCTATACAACTTGATAATACAGATGGTGATAGTGATATAGAAGGTATAACGAAATCTGTTATTGACTAATTTATACTTTTGCGTAACTCGAATCCTATACTTACGAATTCGTGTCCTACAAAATATAAACATTTTTATTCATCTTTATGAATGTACATGTAAATTTTTCCTAAGATTATTCGAATTGGGCCTTTCATTTATAAATTACGACGAGAATAAAAATGCTAAAAGAAATGATAACGCCGCTGTGCGAAACATATACGCGTTTTATATTGTTATTATCTTATGTTAATAAAATATTAATTTAAAATACTAATTTATTTTTCTGTCTATACATGCAAAGCCATATAATATGTATGTAGTTATTTCAGATATATGCATTTCTATTATTTATTTAGTATTAATATTCCAAGCTCTGCTTAGTTTGGACTTGATGGTGCTATGAAATATATCTATACGTATTATTTTATTAGACTGAAAAGAACATAAAATAACCTAACCTACAAGTTATCCTTGCACATACAATATTTATGCTTAATTTCATATACATTGGTTGAGTCAATACGCCAGGAGGTAACAAACTTTCATATTTATAATATTGGGTAGTAAGGAAGTAAAAATAAGGATGTTACGATAACATAGTTAATTTACTATCCAATTACCTATATTCATTAGTATATAAATACTGATATAAAAATGTGAAAGTAACTGTCTATCAGTATTTTAAAAGTAGATAATATTTTTTTCTGTACTTGGTAGAACTTTGTTTACATTGTATATTGATATTATTAGAAACACAATTCTACAAAACGAAGATCATTTGACGATCGTTTGTAAAAGAGTACAAGAGTTTATTTGTTTGGTTGCCATGTCCATATAGCTAAATCGATATTGATTGATCTTGCCTCTTAAGGAAGAACGTAAAGTATTTTTAAAACTGCTAATAACGTTAAAATCGGGTCATGAGTCAACGTAGTTTGTAACATATTTTTTAGTTCAAATGTAGAATTTACCTTTGAGGTTAAATAATGAATCAAATGGAATGATGCTTATAGCTACCTTTAATTATCGTACCGCTCGTTAACGACATGGGAATTCATCTTCACACGCTTGAACCTTAATAGTCACGTATAGTGCGGTTTCAAAGGGATTTTTCCCCGCAAACTCTCGGGCTGTGGATTGAACTCCCTATCGAGGTTTTTCCTAGAGACTATGGGCTTTTTAAAAAAGGAATATTAAGGTTTTTTTTCTGAGTCAGAAACGTGCACGTGATATCTCTAGTGTTGCAGGCGTCCATAGTTTACAGTAATTTACTAACAGACAGTCTGTACGCTTGTTTGCAACCTTTGTGGTATAAAAAAGATCATAGTTTTGTACGTCTCTGTTATGTTTTTCTGTATTCCTCCCTTCTCTATTGGGTCAGGTAATAGTCATTTGACCGTACAGCCTAGTCTTATTTTAGTAATGACACCATTGATAACAATATTTTTTGTTATATACAATATCCTGTATTTTTCACAGATTACGACAATCAACTTAAAAATCTGATGCAGTCTATAACCGATAGTACAAATACATTAAAAACAGCTGAAATAAATCTAAAAAATCTTACCTCTGCTCCTACTACTGAAGCAGCTATAAATGAAATAGAAGAAATTAAAAAGCGTTTAGAAAACCATGAAATCAAATTGAACAATTTAAGAAGTTCAACGGAGATTATAAATCCAGTTGAAAAGAATAAAATTCTGAATGATTTTGATAAATTTTTCAAGGAATATAGGTAAGATGATATCAATATTTCTAATCTCGACATTGCTAGGGAATTAATTCATATAGTCGCGTAGGATGCGGTTTCAGAAAAGTTTCTTTCTAAAAAAAAAAAAGGTTTTTCCTAGAAATTACAAATTTTTAAATTAAGAATCGAGCTAAGGAGTCTAATAAGAATAATTTTTATTCAAGTAAAGTTATAAGCATTTTTTAACAATCATTTTTATTCTGCCTTCAATTCAAAATGCGATTTCAGCTCAGAATAACGAGCAAGCAAATTAACTGCTGCTTTTTTTCAAACAAAAGTTACATTTACAATTATTAATTTTTGCCAATATAGACTACTAAACAGTAGAGGAGTTATTTAAATTATTATATACCTAGATGTTTCATTGACTGAGTCTAACTTTAATAATATATTTAAGTATTTAAATTGTGACATATTTAATTACGTCAATTGACAGAAATGCATATACGAGTAGATAGATATTTTTCCTGCTAGTCTTTATTTTTATAAGCTACTTCCAAAAGAAGGACGTTTTTAATTTCCTTGTATTATTCTTCATCTTTAATACTTCAATCTTGACCAAACACACTAATTATGTACCCATTGGAAGTCACCGATCTTTTTTTGCGGAGCAATATGTACTTGCTATTAAAGTGAAAATTATTTTTTAGAAAGCGCAAAAGAATCTGTAATGACATGCTCGAAGCAATATTAGAAGGATATCCAAAATCCAAGAAGACATTGCTAGAAGAGCTTTGTATAGAAACGGATGAGATGGTCAATTTCAAAATTGTTACTAATTCTTACTAACCATTAGTGTTTTTTTTTTTTTATAATAAAAACAAAAATTAACGCTCAAGTTCTAGAACATTATATTTCTAATGTTATTCTATTTTTCACTTTCAAGAGCAATTTGTAAGTAAAATTTTGCATTTTAAATAAATATTTATGAATATACAAACATTTTATTTTATCATATAAGAAACATTTGTATTAATTACATGTACAGCACAGGTAGTTAAGATTAACTTATGTTAAATAATTTAATGTTTTTAATTCCCAAGTATTAGATATTACACCAATTAAAAATAAATACGATTCTTTTCGTTTGATAACATATCATACATACATCACTCACACACACATATATATATATATATATATATATATATATATATATATATATATATATATATATATATATATATATATATATTCTCACCTATCATCACTCACTGGTGTTGGTATATCGACAACGCAGCCTGAATTACCATTTTATTTTCACTCATTTAAAACAGTGAAACGGTTATGCAAACGGATTTGCCGTACGGATATGACTATATGTATGTATGTATGTATATGTAGACGGCCTACAGGCTCCTATTCATAAAAATAAATACAATAATGTATGTAACCATGGACTCACCCTAGATATAATGATACCGGCTATGGATATCCGTATTCTAGGCCCCTTCAGTAATTTATACCGCAAATCGACGCCGTTCCAGAAAGACACGAAGTATCGTTTGATCTGCACGTTGTCGCCTCCATGTAACCTAAAATATAGAAATAAAATATTTTTTTACAAACATAATTACAATCACTTATGTATACAATACGAGTATTCGAGATTGGAAGATATATAAAGAAATCATGCGTTTTAATTAATTGTATGTGAGTTACACCATTTTTAAAGGAGATTTGTTTTTTTTTTTATTTTATTTTATTTTTTTATACAACTTAGAATGGCAAACAAACTGACGGTCCACCTGATGGAATGTGGTAAACGTCGCCTATAGACATGAGCAGTACCATGGACATAACAGAGTATACTGTTTCGCTCATGATACCCCCCATGTGTTACCATTCCTGAGGACTCAGGTGTTATTCCTCTGTACCCAGTAAATTCACGCCAAATTGTTAATTGAGTACTATATTATTGTAAATATTTATAATAAAATAGTTTCATTTTCGAAAATAAATTATTTCTGATCTATTTTTTGTTATTTACATTGAGGAACTTCGAAAGAATAGACGAAAGCGGATTAAGTAATTATATAATAGGTTGACAAATTTAATGACTAATTTTCATGATTTATGTCGATTTATGTCTTATTTGATTCAATTTAATTTTTTTAAAGTGATATTTAAAAGTAATATTTCTTATTCATGAACCACTTTCTTGTAATATACTTAATAAAATCAGAATGCGATTTTGTGCTTAGTCATCTTCATGAGTATTGATTACATCTTATCTATTGTACCAATTTACTTGCATACTATGTACCGGTTTGAAGGATAAGATAGGCTATTATTAGTATATGTAATTACAGAGTAATACGACCTCAAAATACTCATTTTAAGACATAGACACGCGTGAGTGATGCCTCTGCCTCTGTTACATATTCACTGTCATATGCTAGATTGTTCTTCGTATAAAAAAATAATAAATCAATTGCTACGATACCTGTAGCCATCGTAATCGACAATGACTAGTATTTCAGGATATATTACGTAGGGCGCGTCCCTTTTCCGTCTGCTGTGTGCTTCTGTTGATCGCTTTCTTCTGAAGCGCTTGGCGAGGTGATCTGGCTCCATGAATGCTGGGAAAGTAAAAATGAGTCTCATTATAATTTTGATTGATAGAATACTTTAGTCAATATTTAAATTTTATTCAATGTATTTTAAATGATGATGGAATAATCATCCCTCTCCAAGATATAATAAAAAAAAAAGATTAAGGAATAATAGTATTTTTTATTTAAGTAAACACAATTACAAGCATTTTTGAACAATAATTTTTAATGCGAAATAAATGAGTTGCGGAAGATTTCTTATTTGAAGAAAAAAATATTTTTGGTCGGTTGTTTTTGTTGATAGTTTTTGACTTTATTCATGAAACAAACAAACAAACGCATCCTCTTCATAATATTAGCATAGATAGATAAGTCTTTTAACAAACAAGGATTATAATAAACAGTGACACGCAGTTTTCTTTTATTACCTAGACTTTAATTATAGAACAATGATGTAGATTGTAAACAATCGTGTAAAATTGAAAAATGAACAAAGAGTTCTATGCGACAACAACTCGAGTGATGAATTAAATCATCAGCAATCATTATTGTTGACCGCATAAGTGTTAGGTATTTATGTAGGCACTCGAGTTATATTGAATTCTAATGGATAAACACAGAGACATTGTATTTTATAATAAGCTTTTTTTTATATAAGTAAACGAATATAAGTGCATACCTATGTTCGTTTACCTATTGGTACCATCAGGTCGATCTCTACGCGGTCCCCTAGAAATCATCGTGATTATTCCTCATAGAATTTGTCACGATGGACTAACTGACCTGCTTACTGGTGCCCCGCCAGCGTGACAAATAGTGGAAGCGGGTTTACCATTCCATTATTACCCATTGAAAAAAAAAACCAATCGGTATAAACTTAAGATGCGATTTGATACAGCAGCAGTTTGTCAAGGGGTAGTACATGTGTTTCGCGTAGAGTTAATATGCATTTAATAGATTATTTTCATTATATATAGACGCAAATAGAGACTTGACGCTAAACAATATTTCACAAAGAAAGCATTCGAATAATACAAATCTAATTTTAAAATGAGATCATAAAGAACGAAGATTTCAATTTGCCTATTTTTTTTTTAGGTTCCGTATCTCCAAAGGAAAAAACGGAACCTTTATAGGATCACTTCGTTGTCCGTCCGCCCGTCAGTCAAGATCCTTTTTCTTAGGAACGCGTAGAGATATCAAGTTGAAATAAACAAACATAGAACTGATACAAGCCTAAACAATAGTTTTTAGAAATGTTGTCTGTCTGTTTGTGTATATGTTTGTTCCGGCATCACAAAAATTACTGCAATAAATTTGATGTCGGTTTTACAGTTGTGTTCCTGAAAGTCTTACTTAAAAATACAAAGTGTTTTATATTATAAAAGTGGACTATTTCATTGGTTTTCCTGTTTCTAAAATACGTACGAAGTAGCGGACAAAAAAGGTATTTATAATATAAATAGGATTGTAAAAAATAGTTTTACGAACTACTATAATAAGATTTAAGATAGATTGAGAATAAACATAAGTCTGCACGAACGTGATTATCGCGTGGTTGCCAGGTGACACCATTTGAATTAATCTCAATTTAACTTAATAGGTCTTTGGCCTATATTATTAATGTAAATTACGTAATTAATAAGTTTTAGTGAGACCTTACGACCTCAACTTAAGTGGTCTTTTTTGTAATGGATGATAATAGAATGGTAATCCCGCCTGCGCTATCGGTATACACTTGCAGAGCACCTGTGCGGGATGGTAGGTAAAAATGAAAAGACAGGTTAATTAGCCCATCGTAGTGAATATACTTGGAATTCAGCACGATAGTTTGGACCACGTGGAGGTCAACCTGACAGGGTATATTGCTAACAATAGGACTGGCAGTCTGCATTACTAACAACCGCCCCCCCCCCGAACTTAAGTGGTTACTTCTAATAAGATATTATATATATTTTTACGAGTATTTTATGAGCAATTTTAGAACACATCTTGAAAATATTTAATAATTCTATTATCAAAAACGTCTAATAAATTCATGAAGTAGCTAGGTCAATAAATTACGTGCTAAGACTTCCGTATTACCTAGGATTCTACTTAATGTATAATTTATTATATATTAATTTATTTACACGAGTATTAATCGATTTACAATCATTAATATAGATTAAATAAGGCGGGCTTTACAAGCATTTCTGCAACTTGCTTTAGTGTGTAAGTACTTAAGTGCGTATTTGCAATCTATTTTTTTTTAAACTTGCTTGCGTCAGAATATGCTAATATATGGCATAACCGTAAGCCAGCCATTAAAAAAAGCATATAAATCGCAAAAACCATCCATTGTATTTACTTTCAGTTCACAATTTTGGTGGTACTTTTGTCCATATTTTTAATTCAATGAAATCTACATATTACTACGTGTTTTGAGTCTCTACGAGCTTTTTTAGTTAGAACTGTTTAGCGTATCGCATTGGAATACTATGGTAAAAGTTTATTAAATATAAAATATAGTTTGGTAAAAATTTAGTTTATTTAAAATTAAATACACACTGTTTATTAATTGGTAGATGGTAAACTGATTAAATTATAATAAAAATGGTAAAGAATACGCGCCAGCTATTCGGCAATTGTTCAATACTACAGTTTCCAAATAACACAATTTTGTCGTGCATTAATTGTGTATAATATTCAAAAGAAGATTGAGGCCCACCAATTGAGTGACCACCAGAGGGAGACCTTGTCAACAATCGACAAAAGTCGATTGCTTGGGTACCTCTGTCCCATTCGTGTTTCAACCGTGAAACAGCTGTGGTTGCATGGCTGTGTTTCGGTTTGAAGGGTGTGATATGGCGTGAATTTACTGGATACAGAGGAATAACACCTGAGTCCTCAGGAATGGCAACGCATGGGGGGTATCATGGGCGAAACAGTATACTCTGTTATGTCCATGGTACTGCTCATGTCTATAGGCGACGGTTACCACTTTCCATCAGGTGGACCGTCAGCTTGTTTGCCATTCTAAGTTGTATAAAAAAAAGTGATTATATGACTTTCTGTGTCGTATTATTAATGAACTATTATTATACATAGTTTACTATCCAATGAAATAAAGCGCTTGCATAATGTTCTTATTCAATACTAGTTTCGCTGAACGGAAAATCTTAATAATTTGTAATAGATTATGTAGATACTGAGTATGGATAATAAATGTTACAGAATAGTAATTACTTGTGACGAGGAAAATTTTGTTTACGGTTATTACTTACATAAAGTTATTGAGGAAATGCAGAATTCAACATGTTAAATGTACAGACAGGCAGGCGTCTTTTAATTATTCCTAATTATCATGTTATAATAGAATCATAATTTATTTAAAGTTAACAAACTTTAAAACTGCTAATTTGGACCTATTTATAACTTCATATATGGTATACCTTGGCCGTGTGGTCCTGGTATAGAATAGCTCACCTCTTTCTTTCCCGTGGGTGTTGTAAGAGGCGAATAAGGGAGAGCGATGGATGGGCAACAGCGTCTCTCTTAAAACATCACTAAAGTTTAATTGCGGTTGCCAATCCGCCTGCCAAGCGTAACAACTACTGACAAAACCCTCCTTATGGAGCAGGCCTATGTTCAGCAATTACCGGTTAAAATGATGATGATGATATACCTATAACTGATTGTTTTTTAAATATACACACTTTCAGAAACTTTAAAAAATCGTTTACAGAAACAAAGCTGCGAGAAAAAAGTTACAGTTTGTAATTGAATAGAAATTAGTCTAAGTTAACAGGGAAATACCAATAAGGCAAATTCTTGCAAGTCTACAACAAAAAACGTAATACCCCAAATATATTTAGTTGAATAGATTATGGTTCGTAAAATTATGTTTATGCAGTTGATACCCGGAAGATATAATAATCGATAAAACATGTTAAGTAATCTATTATAATATTGATTGAAGATTAATGCGAATAATTAATTTTTAGAGAGTATTAGTGGAGATCTGTTTTTTTTTTTGTAATTGGTTTTACGGCCCTGGATACTGGCCAATTAGTTTGATTTGTTTGAATGTTACCTTTACGTTAAAAATATTCACTCCACACCTATAGAAATAGAAGGACTTTATGGTCACATAATATAAAAGGATTTTATGATATGTTTTATATTATAATATTATATATTAACAATTAAACAATTATTAAGATACTTTTATAGTGCATACAATAACTATTTATTCTTATAAGGTCGTTTATCTAACTATCAATGTACTGCTAAAAGTTCTAATGCTGGAAAGCTGATACTCGTGTATGAAACATAGGTTTATTTTATAAAATAAGCATCGGTTAGGTAAGATTTTTAAAATTTCAACTTAAAGGCGAAACACGACACTATGAATTAAAGTCGCGAGCAACAGCTAGTACATAGGACTAAGTAGTTATAAAACAAATATTGTTATATTTCACAACTGTAATCCCAGATGGAATAAATAATTAGCGTTTGGTCCATTGTTTTTATTGTGATAGTGTCAACTCGAAATCAGTAATGAGGTTGGTTTTTATTTTGATTTGTTAATAAACAATGAAGTTATGGTACTTTGAATATAAATTTGCCAGACATTAACTATTGGCTTTCGCTCTCGTTTTAAAAGAAAAGTATCTCAACTTCCTTAAGTTTTTTGTAGTTTAAAAACCTTGCTTTGTAAATCTTTGCGTCTGATGGTAAATGGTTACTGTAGCCTATGGACGCCTGAAACACTAGGACCCGCGCATTGCTGACCCTGAAGAAACCATAACATACACTACATGAAGAACCCTATACTATAGTCTAAAAGGAAAACCTCGGCAGGCAACTCCTCGAGTTCTCCTTGAGTTCCTCCACAGCCTGAGTGTTAGCAGGAGAAAATTCCCTTGAAACCGCACTGTACATTTATATTCATGCGTGTAAAGATGATTGCCTGTTGATGGCGAGCGGTACAATGTTAAAAGGTGGATTTGGGCATAATTTCAAACAATTCCTCAGAACACAATCCATTATACTAACGGTAGAACTTTGCCTTTCACACCCCTATTGAAAAATAAACTTTTTCAAAATCGCCGTTACCCAACAAGCAACAATGTCAAGTGTCAAGGCCACATATTTTTTCCATATTGATATCTATTTCTATTGTAGTATGAGTCGTTTTATAAATGCTACGTGTTAGTAGACATTCGCAAAGAAACCGGTACGATTACCATAATTGATTAGGTATATCGATTATCTGTGTATACGATCGATTATTCGGATGCGTTCAACTCACGTGCCGATGCGCACGTGAAAGAGATAATGTTATTGAGCAATTAATCAAGGAGTGTAGGTATTTCTGCGGTGTCCCTGTCAATTAACTAAGTAATATTTATGGCGTTAATATATTTATTTACACACATTATTGTTTAGTACCACGTGTAAACTGCGGTATGCGGAAACTGTGTATCTCTAGGTTGAAGCACATCATAGCTTCTGTATTCTCTTTTCTCTACAATCCTTCAAAAGGCGAAAAAAATTTTTTAAAGGAATATTAATTATACGGTTATAAACCTTTGAAAAAAAAACTACAATATGTACAAAGAATAACTTAATTAATTAAATTAGAATAGATTAGATTCTATTGAAATATGATATACTAATTCTTTACACCTATTAAGAAAAAGAAATTGGTATTTTTTCTCTAAAAATTTCAAGTTCACGAGGTTACGTTCACCACATATAGTAATAGTCGACAAATACCTCTTGCTACCCCATCAGGGATTAAAGTCCTGAGAATATTTGTTTATTTTTAAATATTAAAATATTTAATATTAACTCACCATAGTCACCTAAGTGGTCGTCCAATGCTGGATCTCGTTTTATTATAACGTGTTTGGCACCGTTCAAAGCTCGTCTCAATTTGTCCTGGTCATCTTTTTTCCTTCTCACTGAAAGGAATATAATTGTTATAGTTTACATTAAAAATAGGTACTACGAGCATTACATTTGGTCTTATATACATAGGCATATTTAAGGGGAGTGGAGGAAGGAGGGGGCGGGGGAAGACCGTGTCTATTCTAGAATCGTCCGGTGCTACCTTGAGAATTCGATGAGTAAAAATGTGAAAAAACAAACATAAAAACTTACAATCGATTTGAAAACCTTCATTTTGAAATCGCTTGAAAATAGATAATTAATGTTTTCATTTATTATTAATTTCATTTAGAGAATATTTCTGTGATAATTTCAACGAAATTTATTTACCTCTTCATTAAGTTCTATTGTCACAAGCAATATAAATAAATATAAAGTTACTCACACAGAGGTAGTCCAGTGTCGATGGACACCATGTCCGACAAGCTGGCGGGGTCCATGAACATCTCGTCGTCCTGCGCGGGCGCAGTCATCGAGTCGGGGACCGGTCGGATCACCAGGTCGTGACCGATCGAGCCTTCCTGCGCAACATACAATATATGAGTCTCTGTCTGATGATACTGATATGATGGTACTGTTATATTGTACCTTGTTTGCAAATTATTCTATTTATCCTATTATTGTGGGCTTATTTATTTATTTATTTAACACTTTATTGCACCAACATAACATGATTTGTTAAACAATTTTCAATACGTATAGTGTAGTACAAAAGGCGGTCTTATTGCTAAGCAATCTTTTCCAAACAACCTTTGGGCTTAGAGGATGAGTGTGTGCCTTTTAAGCATTGATCCCCCATTCTATACATATAACTTAGTCTATATGGCATGACACCACTTACTTACACCTAGTTTGTGTCCAATTTTTGCGTAAACTGGTAAAATATTTGATTTCATAAAATTACATAGTTTACAAAAGCGATTAACTTGTTAAACAGAATATGAAAAGACAGTGGTTATTAGGCTTAGGAATACCACAAACGGGTGACTAATCGCAACATTATAATATCTGGAACTGTTTAATATTTCCATCATCATCATTATCTCGTCCATTCTCTAGTCACTGCTAAAAGCCTAAGGCCTCCCCCATAAAATGCCATAAGGAACGCTCACCAATAGCCACCTGTACCAATTGCAAATTCCATATATGTATTTATTTATTTCATCAACTGGATGAGCTTTTTATTTTATTTTTAATGGGCGATAATGAAATAATAACCCTACCTGCGCTATCAGTATACACTGGTAGGGCACCAGTGAAGGGTGAAAGTGTGACGATGAAAGCAGGTCTGTTAGTCCGTCGTAACGAATTCCATTAGAATTAACCACGATAGTTGGGGGGAAAGGGATTGTTAGTAATGGAGACTGAGGATCTCATTGCTAGCAATATACCCAACCAGGTCGACCTCCTCGCGGTTCTCCCTGGAAACTATTATGGTTAATTTCTGATGAATTTATCATGATGGGCTAACTAATCTGTTTTCATTCTTATCTATCACCCTTTACTGGTGCTCCGCCAGCGTATCCCGTTAGCACAGACAGAGTTACCATACCATTTTCACCCATAAAAAAAACCACGATAGTTTCCAGGGGAACCGTGTGGAGGTCGACCTGATATAATGTATTGCTAGTAATGGGCAAATTAGACCCCATTACTAACAACCCTTTTTCCTCCCATTGGGTGAGCTTTACAGTTATGTTACGATATCTGCGAATTTCGAATGCGAAGGGATCACACGGCCAAATAAAGGTAAAAAAAGTATACTACATAAGATATCATAATCATATTTTAATTATATGTACATTTTACATTATATCAAAATATGTCACTAAGAAACCTACATTATAAAATTGTAGTTTAATGTGACGTATTTTTATCACTATATGCTAACACATAATTACAAATTTAGTTGCAAACGTAAGTCGTCCGTGTACAGCAGCCCTTACGGAGTTGCACCATAGAGTAATTGCCGACTTGTGAGCACTAAATAGAGTGGAACTTGGACACGACTGTAAAATCTTATTGTATCGTCGTGACAACTTTATCACATAACAAATTATTGTCGTTGAAATGTAGTATTTGCCTTTTGTAACATAAATTCATATTCTAAAGAGGAAAGACGTAATTTTTTGTTCGTGGATAAACTCGAAAAATATTTAACATCCATAGAAGCAGTTGTGTTTGCATGGCTGTGTTTCGGTTTAAAGGGTGGGATATGGCGTGAATTTACTGAGTACAGAGGAATAACATCTGAGTCCTCAGGAATGGCAACGCATGGGGGGTATCATGGGCGAAACACTATACTCTGTTATGTCCATGGTATCGCTCATATCTATAAGCGACGGTTACCACTTTCCATCAGGTGGGCCGTCAGCTTGTTTGCCATTCTAAGTTGTCCAAAAAAAAAAAAGCTACGTGATTCGAAAGTAATATGAATTGGACTTTCTTAAAAAAAATATACTGCTAAAATCCGTTGTGTCGTTAGTTGTATATATCTTGCTTTCTGCAGTTTATAATAGAAACTTTAGGGATTCGTTAAAATATTTATTAAGGATATTATACCATCTTATATTGAAAATGTACACTAAAATTGGGTTCAAGATTGTATGATTTTACCGACATAGTAGTATCTTATGATTTGGTTCATGAAGATTAAGATAAAAAGCAGCAAAATATTATATATACAAACATAATTTACATGTAAACCAAACTCTATTGGAATCAATCCAGTCGTTTAAGTATGATTACAAACTTACACATTCATAATATTAACAGAATTATTAAATGTTTACCTCTATCTATCTCATAACAGAACTAGTATCAAAAAAGAAATTTATAAGAGAAATCCACTCTGTCAGTGGGTTTGTTCATTCCGTTTTTATGGCATTTCCATTAACATTAGTAATCAATTAGTAATTTGCAGAAATATAGGTACAAAATTGAGGTACAATTTACAAGGCTCTAAATCATGTGACGTCATCAAATATTTCACACGAAACAAGTCGCGGTATATCAGTTAGCAATAAATATGTTAATGTTGTAACGTAACGTAACCGTACGCCTTTTGACACGACAACGCCTTGATTCTTATCTCCCACATTGTGATGAAACGACATATTTATGATGACTCTGACAATGCACGTTTGCATGAAAAATAAATTCATTTTGTAATTATTATACTTATTTTCAATACCGCCGCATAATTTAATTTCTACTCTCCTAAAAGATAATTAAGAGAGTTGCTATAATACAGTATTAAATCATTGCTGATTATTATTGAATATATATTGAAGTGATGATCTCAAATATATTGCACAGAGTCAGTACATGCAAATGGCTTAGGACTGTTCCTTATAGCGGTCTATGGGGGAGGCAAGAAACATTTATAAAAGTTTTTTTACTAAACTCGGTGTTATCTTGTGAAAGTCCACACACAACACCACAGTTTGATTAGAATTATTTTGTTTAATTCCGCTAAAAGTTTCTTAAATGATAAATTATAGATATTGCGGCTTTGAAAGTAGAATATTGATAATTTATTTTAAGACAGTAGCACAATGGGCGTTGATTGTCGTTGGGAGCAGTTGTGCAATCGACCTTAGTCTACTTGTGCACTCTATTGTCTATGGTTACGGCTTGCTACCTAGCCTGGTTAGATGTTTTTGCGAAGACGTACCTGTATAGAGACTAGGAATTAGTAACAATATTGCTAATTATATTACTACTACTCGTGGCCACACTTGCGTGTAGATGGTATATATCAATCCCGTAGTAATGTTCTTTTTTTTTTTTTAATTTTATACGGTATAAAGGTTTTTTATTAATTTTACACTTTTGCACTATTTATAAAAATTATAAATACAGTAAATTTTAATGTGAAGTGATATAAGAGGCGACTTTATCGCTAAGCAAACTCTTTCAGACAACCTTTGGGTCTTCTTTGGACAATTTTTTTTCACAATGTCCTCTACATTGTGAAAAAAGACAAAGGGTAGGTGGCGCTCTATTATTTTTATATAAATAATAAAATATTTTTTTCCCTCCGAGCCCTGCAGTAGATAAAAAAAATTGGCGATTTAAAAGTGCTTGTAAACAAGTCTACTTGAATAAAGATGATTTAAATTTGAATTCAACTCTAATTAACAGGTAATTTACAAATTAGACTATCACATCTGAAATTATTATGTTATAAGTGAATGTACAAAAGTGTAAATAATTTTATATCCCATCGTGACAATTCTTTTAACTCCAATAGTGATGGTTTATAATGGTAAAATTAATTGTATATATGATGGCGTAAATCTTTCCTTAAAATACACGCTAATATGGCACATATTAATCCACAAAAAAAAAAAACTTCAATAATAGCAAAATCAGTTATTTTCATTTATAATACAAACTATTGAAACAGTTTTCATTAAATTTCTATGGGACCAATTTGAAAGTATATCCTATCAGAGAAATAGATAATTTTACAAATCAGTTTACAATTGATGAAATTATAAGGTAACAAACATAAAAAAATGAAGTTAACAGAAACATAAAAAGAATGTTTTTTTAAAGTTGATTGAAAAATTATATGTTTTGCAAGCTTGGGGAAAGCCCAAGCTTTACTTGGAATTTATAAAAGTCATTACCATTAAGACAGGATATCCCAATATAGATGTATAGAATTTTTACACGTCTCAATGACAGTGATCACTTGTCATAGACAATTCGAGTTATGTACGGTCAGCAACAAAATAGCTGAACACACCCATTAGTTTTTCGTTTTATTGTTGCAATGACGATAATTGCAGCAAAATATACTGAATTAAGTGTTATATTGTGGAATTCGATATCACTGGTTCATCATCAATATTTAGGCCATTATCCGTCCACTGCTGACCATAAGCCTCCCCCATAGACTGCCACAAGAACTGGTCCTGAGCTACCTGCATCCACTGACTTCCTGCAATGCATTTGAGGTCATCTCTCCATCCAGTACCATCCATCAATCTCCATCTCCATCCGTATCACTGGTTAGTAAATTAAAATTATTTTATTTAATTCCGTTACCATTAGAACTTAGAATTTCAACTAACAACAAAAGCAGTCAATCCTCAAATGTCGGTAATTACGCGCTTGCTAATTGTAACGGAATTAAACAAAATAATGATAATCAACTTACCTGTTATAATTGCTGCACCAACGCAAAGTCGATCATTAATTTATTATAGATAGGAGAAGCTTGTATGTGTAAGACATATATACATATAAGTTTTATAATTGTATTTATTCCATTAATCCTGATTTGTCCAATAATTTTCTATAGATTTTAAACCTAAAGAAATTTGTTTTGTAAAACAAAATCCTAAATATATTCCTGGAATAGGAACTATATTAAGCTAACCTCCAAATAATTAAGATATCTATCCTAAGGGCAGAAAAATTATGACGTGTGTATTTTTTGTGTTCATAAAAATGTATATCTAATAGTACATTTTTTGGGGGGAAAGGGGTTGTTAGTAATGGAGTTTGACAGCCCCATTGCTAGCAATATACCTCATTAGGTCGACCTCCACGTGGTTCCCCCTTGATCGTGAACAATTCTTGTTGAATTCGTCACGATGGGCTAACTGACCTACTTCATCTCCTCACCTATCATCCTTCACTGGTGCCCCGCCGGTGTATACCGATAGCGCGGGTGGGGTTACCATTCCATTATCATCCATTAAAAAAAAATTGTACATTTTAAATAAATAGTACAATATTTGCAATACATTTGCTTACTACAAATATATAGGTAGACGTGACCAGCTAGCATTGATTAAGGGACAAACCGAATTAGTCATGGTTTTGACATTGTAATAGGTGTTTACTATTTAAACAAAATGACGGAATTGCATGCTATTTGAAATTATATTATTATGTGGCTAAATTCAAAGTTACGTATTACATAAATAAATGTTTCTCTGCAAAATTTAAAATTTTTCAAGCCTGACATAAATTACAGAATTGTAATCATACTTTTCTTATTTGGAAAGATTTTTATCTGCAAATTCGTCCGCATGCCCAGAATAATTATATTGAGTGGACGAAACAAAAGTAGCCTATGCCCTTTTTCTATTCCAAATCCTACGCAAGTAACAAATTCATTTAGGGGGTTCATCTTTCCGAAGAATATGGGTACACGCTCCCGGAGATCGCAATTATCATTATTGTATTACGCATCCTCTCACATAGTGACATCCTACCCTTTCTCCTAAATATATTTAAAAAGCCTTTTAAAAATTCTCTCAGAAATCCATTCAAAAATTCCAGTCACCATCCCACTTACCCCGTATGGGAAATTACAAGCATAAACTCTCCAATGAAAAGGACCAATAATGTGGAACCTATCACCTACCTGTGTATCAAATTTAATTCAAATTCGTTGAGTAGTTTTTACGTGAAAGACTAACAAACGTGCAACCATACATCCAACCTTACAAACTTTTACATTTACAATAGTAAAAATAGTAATGAACGAACTTTAAATTGCAACTCACCACCACTAACTTCCCGTGCTGAGGATGTCTTCTTATAAGCAGAGCTGCACCATTCTCTTCGTCTTGATAAAGTTCTCCCAAGTCTTCCTCTCCCTCCTGGATTAAATAAGAAAAATAAAATTTTTGAATCATTCTACATGTCCTTAAATGATATTAATTCGTAAATACATAGTATGATTATTTGACACCTAACACCACTCTAGTGGAATTTCTTCATAAACACTAACAACCTCTTTGAGGCTCGTTTTTTTCTTTTTTATACGATTACATTACATACAAATGAAGGGTCAAGATGTGCCTTTAGATCCTCTCGACCAATATTTATAAATTATATACCAGTTTTCTTTTTTTTAATTGAAGTGAAATATATAATCATAAATCCTTCAAATCCTTTCCATCATTTTCACGTGTGATGCCATAACACAGACATAAACTTTAAAATGTTTATTCCTGTTTTATTGCTTTTCTAGATTCCTTGGAAAATTTTTGCGAAAAAACTCAATGTGCAAACTTTTCGTTTTTTGTAATTTTATACACTAGCTGTTTCTATTCCATTCTTTTTTTCTATTGTTACTACTTATTATATGGTAGGGATGGTAAAATACTGAGACATTATATCTTATTGCATCGCCAAACGGCTAACATTAATTTTATTTATTTTTCAATTGACAACCCTATAGTTTTGTTGATTTAAATATTTATTAAGGGACATAATTTTCCTTTTTAATTTGACAGCTGGCAACCCCATTGTTTCATTATACAAATACAGGGTACGGGACTGCGGTTCGTAAATTATACGGACAATCGACGGAAGGGAGCCGTGAAGGCTGCGCGAAAAACGCCTGTTCCGTTAAACAAGGTGCTTGATTAACGAGATTTAATTAAACTAAAATCAACTATGACTGTGACATGCGTACATAATTTAATCAATGGCCAATTCATTGATATTTATCATTTAATTAAGAATGAGCAGAAAAAAAGTGGAAAATTTGTTTATGGTAATAATACATTGTACAAATGTACATTGTACATGTCGTTAGATTTATTATATTTCATACATACAACATACAAAAACAAATTACAGTAAAATAAACTGTACTTTAATCGAATTAGTATTAATGTTTGATATTTATAAAAAAAAATATAAAGAAAAAATATTCGTAGTATATAAATAGCGAAGTATAAGGAAAAATTACAATAGAAGTTATGGGGAGGGGAAGGGTTTTTAGTAATGCGGACTATCAGTTCCATTGCTAGCAGTATGCCCTACATGGTCAACCTCCACGTGGTCCACCTGGAAACCGTCGTGCTGAATTCCTGGTGTATGAATATATTCATCATGATGGGCTAACTGATATGCCTTTTTATTCTCACCTATCACCCCTCACTGGTGGGCCAGCGTTTATTGTGGAATTATTGTGTTAGCAGTTATAGCGGAATTGTCTTTTTTAGTTCAATATTAATTAGAACTGTTAATTGTAATTTTTTTTTGTTTTTACATTATTTATTTTTGTAACATATGGTGCCAACGAATATGGTCTGGGTAATCATGGTCTGACCGCCGTGCGGTGCGAACTGGCTTGTCACGCCATCTGTGAAGTTACCTCTTAACGAAACCCCGTCGGCATGGAGCCCGCTTCCGTTGAAGAGCAGCGCGTCGTAATCAAGTTTCTCTCGAAACTCGGCAAGAATGGCCGTGAAATTTTTGCCGATCTAATTCGATAAGACATCCGAACCACGAACAAAAAAATCAAGAAAATCCCGCTCAAATGTCAAGACAATGTTGATTGTTTTTTTCGATGTTCGGGGGATTGTCCATCAAGAATTCGTCCCTCCAGGCCAGACAGTTGATGGAAAATTCTACGTCGATGTATTCAAGACAATGTTGATTGTTTTTTCACATTGTCCTCTCTTGTTGTCCGTGATGGAAAATTTTTGTTGGATTCTTCACCACAACAATGCCCCTGCCCACACCTCTCTGTTGTCCGTGATATATATTCTTCTTGTTCCCAAAAACCAAATTGGTAGGGGGCGGCATTTGGGGGACATAGTTAGTATTTTTGAAGGTATATATATCTTAACTTTCTACACATAGGATATTTATATATATATACTGTTTAAATATACGTGAGTGAAACCTCAGGTAGTCGATCATAAGTTGTAAGGTAAAGTCCATTACGCTATACATCTAGACTACGGCTTATGACCATAGAGGCGGCATACGGCCATGACTATATAGATGAGGAAAAGTTTCAAATAATATCAATATGTGTACAAAGTTTCACCAAATGCTGACAAGTAGTACTATATTCATTTTTATACCACTGATGTGGCAAACAAGTATAAGGTCCATTTTCTCGTAGTCTATGAACGTCTGCAATGCTAAGGGCATTATGCTCGATTTTCCGACCCTGAAGAAACCTTTTTTGAAGAATCCCATGCCTTTCTTGCAAAGACAGGGAGCTTTCCGCAGTGTTTCGAGTAGTTTATAGGTCCCTTGGATGTATTCGCTTCGAATTTTGTTAAGTCTGGTGATAACACCGCCAAACGCAGCCTTTTAATTTCTGTTTACTATATACTATATTGTAAAATTTAATAATGTTTCCATGAAACAAGATAAAATTTTTGTCAACAAATGATTGCGTTGTAGGGAACGCAATACGAACTTGCACACATGGCAGATACTATTTTAATTAACAATCTAACTGTCTACACACGTCTCACAAAAAAACTGATCTCACAGCATGCAATTTTTGATATATATTTATCATGTGAAAATCAGAAATCGTGAGTTGAATACACTGTGTACCTACCTCCGCTTACAGCGCGCGTGATAGTACCAACTCGCTGTACTTTTGTTACCGAATTGTGCACGTTTTTACACGAATTATGATTTAATTTCTGTAGCTCGTGTTTTATTTGTAAAAAAGGTACTGAACTAAAAAAGAAGCGACGTCTATAGAGAAACATATTGTCATTTTATTCCGATAGGGGCGATACTGTGTTATAACGTAAACAATCCTTATCCTTCTTTCCATCTACACCTACACAGACTAATGTAATGTTTAGTTTAAAAAACAATATTAAAAACTTTATTTTCCCGCCGTTATGGATTTTTTTAAAAACCCCTTTGCATATTACGCGACTATTAGATAATTTTTGATAATTATTTTTGCAGTTTTATAACGACTGAAACTGCCATTTATCTTTGGAGAATAAAAATCTTTGGAAATTAAATATTTAAGTCAGGTAGACAACAGTAATTAGGCTTTGGTGATATTTTAAGAGGGACGCTGATGCCCATCCTTTGACCATAAGTTTCCTTAGTCGCCTCTTACGACAACTAAGAAAAACCTAAGAGAAGGGGTGGCCTATTCTAAGCCGGAACCACAAGGCATTATTCATAAATGTTTTCACAATAGTATGTAATGTTTAAATAAAATTTTATTGCAATTTACATTAACTACGAAGTATATTTCCGCAGTCCATTGTCGGAGATGCGATGTGTATCGACTCACGACTGCATACAGACAGACATAACGATCTTATCTGTCCGTTTATTTATAACTATCTTTTACTCGCGACTACGTCTGCGTGACTGGGATATATTTACAAAGCGGGATAAAAAGTAACCTATATCTTTCTCCATCCCGTATAGTACGTATGGTATATGCCAAATTTCATAGTGATTGATTAAGCCGTTAAGACGTTATAAGGGAATAAGCAATAAACTCACTTTAACGTTTATACTATTAGTAAATATAAAATAATAACCGACTGTCAAAGGTGGGGTAATGTTTATTTGGTCCATGTACGTTCCTTTCTTTGGGGCAGCTTTAGCTGTTACAAAACTATACAATAAAATTAAAACTGACATGAATATCCAAAATATTCTTTATAAACAAATTGGTTTTCATTTTTTGAAAAGGGCCTGATGGATTTTTATAGGTACATAGTATATATTTTATAATTAAATCTTAACTTAATCTTTCATATAAGAGATACCGTTTTTATATTTTCAATCGACTTCAAAAAGAACCCCTTGTTCTCAATTCGGTTGTATTTTTTATGTTCGTTACTTCAGAACTCTATTATTTATGAACCAATTTGAAAAATTCTTTTTCTTCTGAAAGGATATACCCGGGTTCATGGAAAAGTTTATCAAAATCGTTTTAATACTTTCTAAATAAAAAACGATTAAATATCTCTATGTTTTATTATGGAACATAATCTTAATTTATATCGGTATATATTGTAGAATTCCCCTTACTACATGATGTTTGTCTGCTTTGATGCGTGTCAATGGATGCAAGTATCTGTAGACGACAATTTATGGAGAATACCTGTATTTTATAGTATACAATTAACTCCTAAAATAATTATAATGGACGTTATAAGCTATATAACATAACACTCTATATATATATATATATATATATATATATATAGACATAGATTTTGCAGAATTTTTTTTCGAAGACAATTTTCTGCGGTATAGAAAATGCCAGGATGACGCAGTCTTGTGGTTATTCAAATTCATTATTCATGATGTTTGTATAAGTTATAATAACTAAAAAAGTATTAATAGCATGCGATAAAATTATGCCGTGTGGTTCCGTGCATTGAATTGACCACTGCTGCCTTACCTGTGGGTATTGTAAGAGGCGACTAAGGGAACTTAATGATCGAGAGCTGGGCAGTAGCATCTCTCCTAAAACATCACCATATAAATAATAGATTTGCATTTATTATATTAATATAATAACTACGAATGTTTGTAACGATCGACGAATGAATGAATAAATGTTCATTACTCTTTCACGCAATTTCACACAATAGCTACTTAACGTGTTTGAATAAAATTTGGTACACGGGCAGGATATATTCTATCTCAGCGCATAAATACTGAGTATTTGGCATCACGACTTCATAACCTGTTAAGATCACTTCGATATAAGAGATATATAAATATTGGCGTATATAAGGCCACTTTCTAGAAGAGGCATAGCCTCTTTAAATAGATGCACATGTATTTTTAGATGTCTTTGCGATACTTCGCTTGCATTCTGGGGTAGGCATTCTCTGTACCCAGTAAA